AGACTCTTTTGAGTCTATAAGGGACACAGACTCTAAGAGTTCAATCGGTGTCCCTCGGATTATCCTCAGGGATATTAAACATATGTCATATGTGCAATTTTCAGATGCACAGTTTTGGTATAGAACCAACAGTTTTTACAAAAAAATTGAAGGAATGTAAAGTTTCTATTAGAGATATATTTGCCGATTCCTTTTCCGATCCCATGTGTTCTTTTTCAAAACGTTCCGTCAAAAACTGTAAAATCTGTGATATTTTGATTACTAGCTCTTCGTTTTTTAGCAACCTTAGTAGACAGAGTTTCTTTACCAAAACTTGGGAATAATTGAATTGCAAATCTTCTAATGTTGTCTCCGGAATCAAATGTACCCTATCTGGACTTTTTTATGTTGCTGAAACCAAGTGGTCACTTAATAAAAGAATATCGGGGCATAGATTTCAGATTAACAACGGGGACCAGCAGCTTCTATACAAGCATTTTAATTTACCTGCCTGATCATTTTATTTTGTCAATGAAAGTTAGAATTCTAAAAAAAAAATTAACAATCATACTAATAGCCCATCACTGGGTACACCTTTCCGTAGACAACGAGAAAAATATTGGATTAGAAAATAAACACAGCCTTTCAATATGGTAGCAATGACAATGTCGACAGTGTTGGGAATCTTTCAAGCTTACAGTGTAGCAATGTGAATGTGATGGGAATTTTTAACAGCACAAAGAGACTAAAGCGTTGTCATGGACATCGGTCTTACAATAAACCTATTATACACGATGCCTCTTTTGATTCACTACTATCTTATGTAAATATACAATTAGGCCTTCATCACATTCGCACCAAACTTTACTCTGTCCCTTTGAAAGTTTTGAATAGTCTATTTGTAAAAGTCAAGGAAAGTCCATATTTGGATTCCTCGACAGCAGAATACAGGCTCGGATCCTTGGTTATGGATATTGCAAAACATAGGCTTTTTAAACCGCCACAATTTACTGAAGAAAATACAACTAACACTATCCGTTTTTTCCTTTAACTTCAATATGCCAACAAAGGAATTGACGCTATTAATATCAGTAATATTCTTAATTTAAAAAAAAATTCCAAGGAACTTTTGGAAAATTTTATCGAAATCAATAACATAAAAACTTAAGACTTTTCAACTCTATATGCAACCATTCCCTGCGATAAATTAAAGTCCAGGCCTTTTGACAGCTACTCTTTGAATAAAAATGGTACTCGTAAATAATCTTACATTGTAATTGGTCATTTGCAAAATTATTGTGTTAAAAAGCATTCTTATTGTACACACAAATACTGTGAAGTTGATATAAAAAAAATGTTTGAGTTTCTTATTGACAATATCTTTGTGGTTTTTGGAGACCAGGTCTTTCAACAATCTGTTGGAATTCCCATGGGTATCAATTGCGCCCCGTTATTAGCAGACTTATTTTTGTATTCATATGAAGCAGAATTTATTCAAAATCTTATACATGAGAAAAAAAAATCTCTTGCTGTGGCCTTCAACTCGTCATTTAGATGTATCGACGACGAATTGTCAATTAACAATAGTTATTTCCATTCATATGTCGACACGATATATCCCAGTGAGCTTGAAATAAAAGATACCACAGAGTCTGAAACATCTGTTTCATATTTGGATATTTCACTAGAAAGAGAAGTTAATGGTAATCTATCAACCAAGCTTTATGATAAACGTGATGACTTAAACTTTTCAATCGTCAACTTCTCTTACTTATGCAGCAATATACCCTTATCACCTGCATATAGGGTGTATATCTCTCAGTTGATTCGATACGCAGGAGCATGTTCTACGTATGAACAATTTCTAAAACGAGGTAAGTTATTGAAAAACAATACAATGACCCTGTCAGCAAATACAGTCTATCATTTTCAAATACTGACTGACGTTTTTCATACTAATTGTGAGGCCATTGTTTACATACTGAACTGTCTACGGATTTTTCCGTTATTTTCCGATCATGAGAATGACCGGTCGGCAGGGGATGCTCATTCCTCCATGGCACCTGATCCCACCTCTGATGTTTTTGGAGGTCTGCGTTTGCTTTGTTCCCGATTTGTATTGTTTTAATGGACTTTGAGCTTGCATACTGTTTGATATCTCCATATTTCATGAATTATTATTTGTTTTAACAACAACATATTCAATTTTTGATATCAAATATACATTTGATATATATATATATATATATATATATATATATATATATATATATATATATATATATATATATATATATATATATATATATATATATATATATATATATATATATATATATATATAGTTTGAAGCTTTAATTTAGTTGTAATGTACATTTCATTTTTATTTTATGTTTTTAACCGTTTTGGTCTATCGATTTCAAATACAATAAAATTATATTTACAGTCTTCTTTGTCTTAATGAAAAAAAGGAAATACTAAAAGTGAAAACTGTCTTAAAATAACCATAAAACACATCTCACAACAATTTTTCTCCATCCAATTATAAAATACTTGCAAAAAGGTTACCCATTCGTATAACAAATGCACATATGCTCGTCGATTTTTATCTGCGGGATATATGAATACTTCTTTCAATAAGAGATTAAACCATGTTTTATTGTTTACACAGTTTGACAATTAAATAATTGGAATATTTTGGAAGTCATTCGCATCATTATAAATATAGCATGATGAGTCACATTTAACAGATTTTTTCCTAACAAAGTACTCCATTTGTTAACCAGAATGACTTATGATTTCAATGCAATAACTGTATTTTCGTACATTAACAATTCTAGAAACTATAGTACTGTGGATGATTGGCTTCATAGAAACAAGACATCCGAAAAATATCAGTTTTTTTTTCCAAAAATTTGACTTTTGAGAAATCAGAACAAAAAAATATGTTAATTGTTATATATTTTTTTCAAAAAAGAAAACTCAGTAAAAGTATTTCAACAGCATCACTACATAGAGGATCCCTGTGACTACGTGCAATATAGGATATGTTTGGACTCCACTAATACACAGTTATTCGAAGTTAATATCACCATATAAAACAGGTTATCGGCTAAGAACCGTCAAATAAATTATTAACACTAGTTTGAAGGAAGAATCTTTAAATACAATGTCTCTAAAAGCACAAAATATATACTTTCATTTTTATTTCTTTAGTACCAAATTCCCCTACTAAGCCATTGTTATTTTATTTGGTGAGTTCAAAATGGAAGCTAACTTAAAAGTAAACAAAGTACAATTCCACAAAACTTTTAAATCAAAAGAGGAAAAAGTCTGCAGCTTAGTTTAGGTATGATGAACCTCAAATATATTTATAATGCCCTCCTTCATAGCCATGGACAAAAGTTTGAAACATTTAAATACTTTTTCAAAGAAGTTTTCAACCCAGTCAAAAACAATATATAAAGAGCTAGGCTCACTTAAATTTAAGCCCCCCCCCCCAATGACCCCGTAGGTATAGCAATCTAGTGACTAACATACTATATCTTATTTCAAATATAAATATAAAGAAGAGATTTAGTGTTTTCATTACCTATAACAAAGTTTTCTCTGAGAGTTTATGTAATTGAAATCAAGCTTTGTGAAATTGCAATGCAGAAAACATGTCAATGTGAGAACTTTCAGCAAACAATTCAAATATGAGCATACCCCTCGATCCAAAAAATAAAACATATTTTATAATCTTCTGATACAGATCTACCATAATATAATTGCAAGTGGGTCAGAGGTTGTGCTTTATATAAAATATTGAAAAGCAGTTTCAACTTCTGGCCATTTTTAATGACGCAATTAATGAGGTCATATTGTGTTGACTAGCACGAAAATTCTCAATAGTTATGCAGTCACCAAGGGTGCAAGTGATATTTTATATATTGTCAATAAAAACGAAGCAGTTTTGATTTTTCAGTAAGGAGATGGGTGAACATGACGAGCGATAAGCCTATAGTGTGACAAACATGAAGATGAAAAATTAAATTTCAATTATATCAAAATTTTCCTTGATATTTCGTCTAACATTAAATTATACTTTATGTAAAATCTCTATAATTTGCAAAAATCCGTCAAAGATTGAAATTATTTGCCTGTGAAATATTAGACACACACTAAAACGGGCAAAAAGAGTCATTTTCTCATACTATAATACTAATTTTCGATATGAGTGGGTCTTTGCTCCACCTTTTTGAAAGTTAATTCTCAAAGTTTGCATAAAAATATACATTTTTGGTTACCAAAAATATAGAGCAGTGACCCACTATACCTTAAAAATATACTTTTTTGACATAACATTTGCATCTTTTCGAGAAATACTTGAAGTCCATCAAGTCAAGGGTCATATCACAAACATGATTTAAATGCCACTATTCATCAGGACTTGTGTAGTCTAGTGGTTAGCGTGCTAGTCTCGAAAGAAAATAATACTCAGGATTTTTATTGCTAGGGTTCGAACCCCACGAATACCACATTAATTTTTTTAATAAAAGAATAAATTTTGCCGAGAAAATTTTCCTCAGAAAAGTTTTGTTTATCATAATTTCATAAATTTCAATAATGAGAACTTTACTCTAAATACTAAATTCACAAACTGAACATGATTTTTATATATCTGAAGCTATAGGCTTTCTGTACGCTATGTTCGCCCATCTCCTTTACAGCGCCAAAAAAGACCTGAAGTAAACATTGCTCTTTGTTATTTCTCCGTCTTTCTTTATTAAATGATCACAGGCAACGTTTTACACAATGTCAATGCTTATATTTTACTCTAAGCATACTTGTAAACAAAACAATCTTAACAGCATATTTTTGTTGAAAATTTTCTTTGAATCATAATGATGCAGAGAAAATTCCTAGATACAAGTATAGTTAATAAAAAAAATGTTCTCGGTTGATAATAACGCTTAGTGAAAATCTTGTGAATGACAAAGTAGAAAAGGGGTGAAGCCTTCCAACAAATGATTCTATTTTTACTTTCTTTCACCTCCAGTGTAAATCTGAATGAAGAAAACCATTGTTACTACAAAATTTGAAACAAGGAAGAACCAGAACGCGATAATATCCAAGGCTGATGAGACGTCCTTCCAAGTACAGGATGTCTGGAAACTATCTGCTTGTTTGAGTGACGAGATTCCTTCCTTAACCTGTATGTAAGTACCCTTACCCTTCTTACTAGAGGTCTTAACGTGATCTCCTTCTCCACTTTTTCCATGGAATTGTTTCAGCTTATTTGTGTCTCTAGAATAAGGGAAGTCTATTTCCACCCTTTCATTTAAAATATTTTCCATGTTTTGATTTATATTTCTGGTCAAAGGTTTAATTTTGACCCCACTTTTACATCGCATAAGATTGCTTATTTTAATTATTGTTACGTACGGTCGTGAAGGTATCTCTGCTTCGTCCCTGTGGTGAATTTGTAGTTGAAGTGACGCCACAATAAGAACGGTGACACTGTAACCCAACTGCACTTCCAGGTATACTCCCAAAAGAGGTGTACTTTCCGAGTTTGTTGGAAGTTGTGCTGATATGACATTCAGAAAAACAAGAAAAGAAAGAAACACTGTCATTCCAAATGTTAATTTTTCTCCTGAATCTACCGGTATGACAAATGTTAAGATGTTGAGAATTGCTAATAAAACTACAGGGATTATTATGTTTCTGATAAAGTAAAATGGTTTCCTCCGAAGATGAAGGGTGAACATTATTTCAGATTCTCTTATTCCAGGATCGTCGATAATTGTAAAGTTCGTGTTGACAATTGACCAGATGCTATTTTCTTCATATTGATAGAATTTCATTCCGTGATTAGAACAACAGATCTCAACTTCGTCCCTAGCATACGACCAAATAACAAATGATATGCTACATATTTGCTCATCGAATGGGAAGTAAGTGATGTCAATTGGACAGCGACTTTCAAATACTTCATAAGGTAACCACGTGATCTGTCCATCAGAATCCAGATCAAGATAGTAGAAGTCACCCCCTAGCTCCTGAAATCTAGTAAATCCACCCTTCAATACAATATCAGGCGTCCAAATTTCTTTCTGAAATATTGTGAGAAATAAATGAAGTACGAAGCATAAATGTTAAAATTTTTTGACAAAACAGCAATAAACAACATCATTAAATTATTTCTAAATGTGAAATTACAACACACACACACACATTCACAATTTATAAATTCTAGTAGCCTGATTTTTATGTGTGGAAGTATTTGCTACATACGGAGCGGTAATTACCTTTGTTTTGCTTTGAACATATTTTATTGTCAACCAAAAGAATCAGAAACAAGTTCTATCAACTTACTAGTTCCTCTCCTTAATATAACACATAATAACAATAATTGTCATGCAAAAGAATATCAAAAACTTAAACAAATAAATAGTAACATACATATATTAACAAGCTATTTAAACATACAGGATTCATTTATGAACTTGTAAACAGCAGCAAAAATACCAGTTTTTTACTCTAATGATGTTTTCATTGCCCCAAAGAAGAAGGTGTACATCTATGATATCTAAATCAAGTCGAAAAAGATAGTCGAAAAGATTATTTCTAGCATTAAGATATTTTCTACAAACAAAGAAAAAATGGTTAGCATCTTCTTGTTTACCTCATGAGCAATAAGGATTGTCAATGATATTGCGTTTATAAAAATCTTGATTCAGTACACAGTTGTCCTTAATTTAGTATGGATTATATTTGTAATGCGCTTACCAAATTAAAAAAAAAAATAAGAAGGTGCTTTTGAGGGATTATCGCTTACAATTTTACAAAATGAATTAACTGAGATGACCCCTCTTGTATCTGTATTCAATAAATTCCATTTTTTAACAGCATCAGGTACAAATGACTTTTTAAAAATTTCTAATCTGCCTCTTGGAATCGTTAATTGATCTTTATTACGTGTATTGTATTTTGAAATGTTTTCTTTTCTTTGGGATTATATCTCGTATATATTCAGGTACATCCCAATTATTAATTTTGAACATTGTAGTCATTTTTGCTAGGTAACGACGGTTCTTCAAAGGTACCCATACTGTTTCAAAATAAAGCGATTCTCTTGAAGCTAGTATTGGAAGACCAGTAACTATCCTAGCGGCCATTAATTGTACATTTTCGAGTTTTTCTACATCAGATAAAGAACAGCCATCCCACACAACTGAAGCATATTCAAGTGTAGGTCTCACAAATGTTGTATACAATATAGAAAGGTTTTTTCTACCTATTGAAAATAGTAGTTTCTTTAATAGCCCCAATTTCCTATATGCATTATTTACAATGCTTTCAGTATACTCAGACCAGCTAAGATTTTGTGACAACAAATTACCGATGTGGTGATGCACCGGTACAAATTCCAGTGTATTGCCCTGAAAATATAAATTAGGTAAAATGGATCTAGTTTTAAGGAAAAAAAATACAACCTTTGTTTTTGATGGATTAAAACTTAGGAGCCATTTGCTCGACCATTTATCTAAAACATCAAGATCATGGTTTAACCTGTATTCTATATCTAATAAATTAAATGACGCATGTTGAAGTGAGTTATCATCAGCAAATAGTCTACACATTGATAGCATATTTTCAGCAACATCATTAACATATATCAAAAATAAAAGAGAACCTAGAACTGAGTCTTGAGGCACACCTGCAAATACATTGAGGCTGGATGAAAACAAATCCTTATACATAACTTTTTGTGATCTGTTTCTCAAGTAACTTGTAAACCGTAGTAAAAGATCGCCAGATATTCCATATATTTGTAATTTGAAAAGAAGACCCTTGTGCCATACTCTGTCGAATGCTCTAGAGAGATCGCAAAAAACCATACAACAAGATTTGCCTTCATCTATACTTTGTACAATACTATGATAAGTTTCTTAAAGTTGGTACACTGTAGAGTGTCCGGGTAAAAATCCGGCATGATATCGATAGATAAATTGTTACAATGAAAATGATTGTAAATATGCTTGAAAACAATTTTCTCCATAATTTTGCTTAATAAAGAAACAGGTCTATAGTTAGACACTAACGCAGGATCATCTTTTTTAAAGAGAGGTTATACATGAGCTACTTTCTACCTGGCTGGAAAAATGTTCTCAGACAGCGATTTATTAAATAACATAGTTATGGTTATGAAACAGTGGCAACAGTACATTTTAACATTTTGTGACTGATACAATCGGGACCTATAGCTTTATTGACTGGGAGTATAAAAATAATATCAACTACCTCTTGTTCTTCAATTATGATATTACTTATTGTGTCACTTCATACAGAATACATTTCTATTAAGTTTTGGTTTGTGTCATTGATACTGGAGATGGATGAAAAGTATCTGTTAAGTGCTTCAATTTAATCGGTATCAGAAAAAAACTAAACTATCTTCACCATTATCGGTAGTAATTTGTAATGGAGGTATATCATTGGATGATTTAACATTAAATGCATCTTTCATTAGTTTCCAATATAAAAGTAATGTGTATCAACGAATTCAGGAAGTATAACTTTCAGTTTTGGTTTTAATTAACATTTAACGTACCTGTGGTATATAGAAATGTTCTATGCCTTCATGATCCTCGGGGTCCCATGTAAGATATTCGTCTATCCACACCAGTTCCAGATATGCAGTGGTCACTAGTTTTTCTTGCACCTCGTCCAGTTTATTGATGCTGAACAAGAAGAGACTCACGTCCATCTGTACAGCTGTGCTATAATCTCGGACGGGTCGGATCTTTTTATCATATTTTTCATCCTCAAAAAACCTTTTTGTGATGGCTTTCACATTAGACATATCTTTACTCATTACACCAAAGGTAAAAACTAACATTAATATAAGTATTTCTAGATCCATATCGTCAAAGAGAGTCTGATTCTGTTTAAAAATTCCAGTTTCCTCTCCTCAAAAAAATCTTAACCCGACTTGTTGAAAGGTATTACAAGGATGACAAGTAAGCAAATCCCAACAAGATTACAATCTCTAATCAATAAATTAAAACGTGTGAACTTCTAAACTAACAAATGGATATTGTAACAAGCCCACATAGGCATAATTTACAAATAGTTTTAGTTCCATCACATAAATGAGCGTTAATTTCGTTGAGTGATCCCATAGGTTATTATCATCTGAAGCTTACAACATTCCTGTATCATTTGAATGAATATATTATATGCTGAATTGTCGATTTCTCTGATAAAAAAGTATTTATGCCTGTGGTTAGGATTTTCATTTTGTAAACTCAGTGTTATTGATAGTTTCTACTTCAAGCAAAAATTCCATGAAATATGTTTTCATCATTTAAATGTCCTGAAAAATTTCTTTGAATATCTGTAATTAAATGGATTTGATAGTACCCTTTTCTTATATATGTGATTCAATATGTTTTATTCAAATAGCGGTTTGTGTAAACATTATAAAGAACAAAAACTGTTGAAGAAAAATTCTAACATTACCTTTGTGCAAAATATTTTATCTTTCAAATCATTGTAGCTGTTAACTGTTTAGTACATTGTATTTGGTAATGCTTCTTATATAAAATGCTTATAAATATTAATTTTTTTTATATTCTACATGTAATTACCAGCTTATTAAATACAAATTAAACACCTGTATGACTGTTTTATAAGTCGTTAAATAACAACCATGAATAAATATCAATTATCATAGTTATTGATTTTCCTCTAAAATATCTCTAAGAAATAGTTCACTTAGATCAATTCTTATTTTGATGGTAAAGTTTTGAAAAGAATTCTTCCTTGCTTGTCACTTTTCTCTTAATCTGAAAAAGTAGTAAGTTTAAAAAAAAATGAAAAAAATCAAATAAATAAATAAATAAAATGTTTGCCAATTTCTATTTTTGAAAAGCAATTTGCCAGTGGAAATGTGAAAAGATGTAAGGAACATTGATTGATTAAAAAAAATTAAATTACTTATAAAATCTTACTAGTCAGGGGAATTTCAATACGAAAATCAAAACAAATACTAGTACTTGAAATATCTTTTTTTAAAATTCATTACCGAAAGTTCAATTAAGTGTATTCAACAAACTTAGTGCTGGCTTAGAGGACAGACGATTTTATTAGAATGTTATAATACATTGTTCTCTCTTTATAACAGCAACGTATATATTAATGCCATCAATATTAACAGACTAAATCACATATTAATCAGATCACTAACAACACCAACTAGTTTGTTTCCGTATATTTAAATTAAGGTAAAAGGTACCATCAAATTGATTTAAATTTTACTGATCCTCGAGTCAATAATTGTACTTAAATTATAATTGGTAAATTGTAGCCCTTCTCCCTATGACCCTTTGAAATATAAATGAAGGATATGTGAAAAGATGTAAGGAACATTGATTGATTAAAAAAAATTAAATTACTTATAAAATCTTACTAGTCAGGGGAATTTCAATACGAAAATCAAAACAAATACTAGTACTTGAAATATCTTTTTTTAAAATTCATTACCGAAAGTTCAATTAAGTGTATTCAACAAACTTAGTGCTGGCTTAGAGGACAGACGATTTTATTAGAAGCTTCTCAGACAATGTGTTTATCATGGTTTATGGAATAGATTATTGTTGTTAAAAAAAAACAGCTTTTGCAAAAACTAGAGAATGTTTGTAAATATATCGGAGCAGAAATGAACATTCAATCTTCTTTAAAAAGCAAAACAAAACTTGCTTTAAAATCCAAAAAATTTCAATTCATTTTTTACAGTGAATTTCATTTTAATGTCACACGTCTACATAGAAATACATCTTGGACATATAGTCTATATCTAGTCAGAATAATAATTTTTGTCCCTAATAGTTTTGGTTAGTTGATCTATTGAACTTCATTGTCATGCAGCAATTTAAAGCCATTCCGTAAATTCAAAGCAATATGGCAAAAATAAAGTGTGAAACTGTATACAAATATATTGTCTCTAAATAAAATATTTGCACTTTTCTTTTATCTAAGACGTTTTATCACTGGAACTGTTAAGTATTCCGTAAACTTGAGAGGCGTGTATGGCGCGTAAAACGTTGCAGTATTATACCTTTTGTTACTGTACTTGTACATACATTGACGTATTCAAAATTTAGCGCAATTACTAGGCATTGAGCGGTTGGCGTAATCATGAATTAGTGTTACATGGATTATATTTATTTATGATTTATTAACGGTATTCATGAATTAGCGCATTGCTGTTCGCACCAAAGCCCCTAAAATATGAAGCCCGCTTATTTTAGTACACATACAGTATTTTTATTCAACAAATTCATTATTCTTATTCTAAAACATATTATTCCTATTCCATAAAATGTGATTCCTATCCGATAATTTGTCATTTCTATTCGATAAATTGTTATTCCTATTGGAAGAAATATTATTCCCATTCTCAAAATGTATCAATCATATTCGATAAAAAAGTGTGTTTCCTATTCGATAACAGTCATTCATATTCGAAAACATGCTATTCCTATTCGATAATTTTGTCATTCTTATTCCAATCATATGTGATCTATATGCAATTAACTTGTTGTTCCTATTCGAAAACATACGATTCCTATTTGATGGTCTTGTTATTAATTTATTATTCCTATGCGATTGTTTCTTATTCTTATTCAATAATTACATTCTGGGTAACGTGACAGAAAATAAAACTGGTTGTAAACTGATGTCTTATTGGTTTAAAAAGCTAAAGTAGGTCTTGGCGGGAATCCCTGGACAGTTGCAGGAGGGTTAGATAGGAATTAAATATAATTAAAATGTCAACAACATCTAATAAAAATTATTTACCTATGGCTCAATAGTGACGGTCAGTCAATTCCTGTGCATAAGCGAGCCTCCAATGAGCAGGTCGCTCGCGTGGCGCAGTGATTAGAGCGTCTGCTCTAGAGTCGCGGAATAAGGAGTTGATCTTTACGTCGCGGGTTCGAATCCCGATGCGGGACGTGGAGACACGTCCTTCGGATGAGACCGTATAAACCGAGGTCCTGTCGCAGTAGATGCTGGCACGAAAAAGATCCCTCACTGCACAAATGGCACTAAGTACCGAGTATAGGTCAAAATTTGTAGTTCTCCACCTGCAAGTGGTGGCGTCTCCATATGAGTGAAAAATTTTGGAGAGGGACGTTAAACAACAATCAATCAATCAATTCAAAGAGCAGAGTCGTTACAATGGAACACATCATATTACCCAGAATGCAATTCATGAATAAGAATAAGAGAAAAAATCGCATAAGAATGATCAATTTATCGAATAAGAATAAGATTTTCTAATAGGAATTGTGTGTTTTTAAATAAGAATGATATTTTAAATATTTTTAGGAATAAAATGTTCATCGAATATAAATCATTTAATTATCGAATAAGAATGACAACATTATCGAATAGGAATGACAAAATTATCAAATAAGAGTCGCATTGTTTTCAAATATGGATAACTTATCGAATAGGAATGATAAATTATCGAAAAGAAATCACTTTTTTCGCAAAAGAATAACAATATTGAATAGGAATCACATTTTATCGAATAGGAATGATGTGTTTTAGAACAAGAATAATAATTGTTTTAATAGGAATAACAAAAAAGTTTAATAATGCAACGTATAACACGCCATAGGCGTGGGCATAACAAACTGAAAACAATTGAAACGGTCTTCAGTTGCAAAATAAATAAATAAATAAATAAATACTTTTATCCCAAGGTTGTGTTATTTCTTTTCCCTATGTACTTTAAACTTTCAAAGTCCTTTGAATATTAAATAATCAATGCTTTATTATAAACTTAATAAATGTACTCTTTCATTTTAAAATTACAATTCAGTTGTGACTTAAAAGACATCAGAGAATAGAATTGCTACAAACTACGTATAAACATGTATAGATAAATCCCAGTGCATTTTTCGCTGATATACCGACTCAAGATACACGGCATAGTACTTATAGTGAGCTAAAGGAGGATTTCAAAAATTAATTTAAGTTAATAGAATATAACTAGGAAGAACAAGTTTCTTCAAGATAACATCGAAAATTAAGCGATTTATAATTTTTTGCCAGGAAACAGGCTGTAAGTGATCATGCAGTGATATTTCTGTTACCAGGAAGTAAATGAGGCAGTTTTGACACTAGTCCATAAATGAGAAGATCAGAAAGTGGTTTCCAACTTTATGTAAGTTACACCTATTCCATTTGAGTGTGGATCTGTTTCCATTGTCACTCCAACCCTATATGTCTCTGTATTTGTGCTGTTGTCTAATTTCTCTATGGTCTTTCTTTTACAGGAACAATTTGAATGCATTGACTGAAAAATAAATTCCTGTTGTATGAAAAACGCTTTTATGGGAAGTAATGACCAAGGTAGAACCAAAATGAGAGAGAGAGAGAGAGAGAGAGAGAGAGAGAGAGAGAGACCTGCATTGAATCCAGTTTTCTTTGCAATACAGCACAGTCCTCCATCAAGCTCCTTGATTGATACGACTCTAATTTTCGCTGAATTTATAGTGTTTAAATATTATTGAATCTACATAATACGAATAAGTTGTATTGCAATGTACAGTATTTAAACTGTTCAAAAACTAACAAACCCTTACAAATAATAAAATTTCTCAAATTTTCTCAAAACACACACACACATACACACACACACATACACACACACACACAGAGAGAGAGAGAGAGAGAGAGAGAGAGAGAGAGAGAGAGAGAGAGAGAGAGAGAGAGAACCTGTACTGATTCCAGTTTTCTTCTCAGTCCTGCACACTCTTTTCTCAAGGTATCTGATTTCGAAGCATGTTTTTCTCGCTATCAAATTAATATTTTTAATGCAAAATCTTTTCAGAAACCATAAGCATCATTAGTTAATACATTAAAATTCCAAATATTTTTAAAATTAAATCTTGGAAATTCCTAGGAAAATAAAGGCCTATCGCCAATTTATACTAAATCATGTAAGAAATGGTACCTTGTGCTTCATAAATGCAGTCAAGTTGTAGATGACTGGATTAAGGGCGGAATTTATAGGGAGAACTATGACAATGATCCAGTCATAAACTTCACCAGACACACTGATACCTCCAAAGGTTAGCAGTCCTGTAAGAAAAATCCTAAAATGATCTAGTCATAGACCTCACCGGACACACTGATATCTCCAAAGGTTAGCAGTCCTGTAAGAAAAACCCTAAAATGATCTCTAAGACATATCTCTAAGACGTCACCGGACACACTGATCTCTCCAAAGGTCAGCAGTCCTGTAATTAAGAAAAATCCTAAAATGATCTCTAAGTCATAAACGTCACCGGACACACTGATATCTCCAAAGGTCAGCAGTCCTGTAAGATACTTTATAAAATTATGTTAATCAAATTGTAACAAAATCATCTTGAACAATAAACTAATTTGCATCTATTCAACAAAAGAAAGCATGCTAAAATCGTTATTTTTGGAATCATATTGATTCGTCAAAATAATTAACGAGGGATTTTGTCTTGTCATTTTCCAGATAATTTTAATAGTATTGTTCTTACCATTTCATAAGCATTTATCTGAGCCTCTGTTGTGCCTGCATTCTAACACAAGAGGGCAAGATGAAAAGTGTGGGCATCGCATGATAAACTGCTACTGCTTGTCTATAAAATTAGGGTCTTACTCACCTATGTAAGTCGATTTTGAACCCCTGTTGTGTCCTTATCCTAGCCCATGGACCATGATTTGATTTCGTTATCTTCACGTTTTTAATTTACAAAAAAATGTTTTATGTAAACCTTGTATGGATTTTAACATTTATGAACCAATCTAGAAGAAAAGATTATAGGTAATTATAAAACGTATAGAAGAAGACGTCCTATTAATTTGGCTTATTGTACTCTTGCTCTTCCAATGATGATTTGTGCGTATATTTCTTTTTTTTCTTTGAATCTCTCTTTTGATCCATTCCAAGCCCTAATATCCATACTTGAACGAATATTTTACTATAACAAATGATAGAGCTTTCAATTTTAATATATGTTTTAGATTATTTATTCTTGAGAATAGAATTTTTGAACAATTACATATTTTTCACAGATTTATGAACATGAACGCTTTGTTTGAAGAAATTTTAAATAAAAACTAAATCGATATTTTTCAAATCTGTGATTGACTTCATGTATGTAAAATCATAGATAGCAAAGTTATATATCTTTTTCAATAAATTCTTTTCTTATACTAGTATTATTTCTCGTCTTCGTCAATTTTATCTTTAGACAATGCTATCTTTATTGGTACATTTTCACACTTCATTGGCTGAAATCTAGCAAAGACTAGACAGAAAATGCTTTAAGAAAGCACAATCAAGCAGTGATCATGGAAAAAAATCCATTAAAACAAAACAAATTTAAAGCAACACAAACACTAGGGGCGGGATAATTTTCCATGGAAAAGTAAGCATACCCTTATTCCCCCGTCAACTGGTCACACAGCCGTGAGCCCTTTCTATTGATCAGACAAAAACAATTGTAGACAATCATATCATTGATTGAAAGACTTACTTTTGCTGATGTCAGGTGAGAGTTATATAAGCCTCAGGTCAATAACATCAACAAAAACCTTTATAAATCCAAATCATGGCAATCAGGTTGTGCCAAATCAACCAAGGATGTCAATGACATGTTCTAATGGATTAAAGTTAACAGGAGTTGGTGTTTTCAATTGCAAAGAAGACACAATCTTTCTTTTCAAATCATTTGAATTCCGTACTCGAAAGAATACAAGTTTAGATAGAAAAAATGTCAACGAACATCAATAGAATACATGAAATATTAAAAGACAAAAACACTAAATGACATGGACATACCTACCACGAACAAACTTAGCTCAGAAATACTTGTACTTTATCTTTCAGCACATGTGAGCTGATGGGATTTGAAACTACACTTTAATTATTTTTAAGTAATGAACATACATAAAACACTTCATGAATGCATTAAAGGTTACCAACCTATCGTTCCAACGGGGATCCAACAACATATGTCTGTGAAAACTATCGCAGCCAAACTCTTAGTCAGATTTAACTCCCTTTTCCTCGATCTAGAACAGGTCACATTTCTTCCGACTGTTATCACCTCATAAAAAATTGCAATCTGTCCGATAAAAATTCCCATGAAGAGAAGGAAGTTCAAGCCGATGAAAACCGCCATGGAGTACTGCCATCCCGATTTTTTGACAACAGATAGCGGTAAGGATATGCAAATTCCAGAACGTGCATAGTATCCTTCGAAGAATTTAGACTGCATAGGGATAATTGGCAATATGCTTAGAAATAAGGAAATAAACCAGGAACACATGGACAGGATAATGGCTCTACTTCTAGTAAGGCCTTTTCCCGAGAAAGGAAATTTTATGGCGATGAATCTATCCAATGTAATTAAAAAGACAAGAAATGTTGATGTTTCACTAGACAGAGTAGCAAGTATTCCAGCAATGGTACAAAAATAACTGTTCCTCCAAGAATAGTCTTCTAGTCCGTAACGTCCATTATACACGAGGTTTGCTATTGCTATGATAAAAAGGTAAACACCCATTAAAAAGTCAGCCCAGTTTAAGTTAGTCGTTAAAATAAAATGTGCCTGGGCAGACTGTCTTTTCAGGTAAACCATCTTATACCAAAACACAAAAAAGTTTCCAAAAGCTGCAAACAATGCGATGTACCATATTCCAACATTTAGAATGGGCACAGCTATTAAGTTATTGCAAGAAGAAATCATATTTTCAGGAGCTACGCACTTTATATCGTAAACATTTCTTGGCTTGGCACAACAAAGGGAGAAAAAATCTACCTGCATCAATATGAGGCTAGACAAACCGTCAAACATTCCTTCCGATACCTGAAAATCATTATTTTGGAGATACAAGTATCTCAGTTCTTCAAGATTTCGGAAATATCTTCCTTTTAAAAATGTTATCTTATTGCTTGATAAATCTAACAACACAAGACTCTGTAGAGCGTAAAACGACTCCAGTTCTATTGTTCTAATAAGGTTTCTTTGTAAATAAAGATACTGCAGGTTTTCCAGATTTTGAAAGAACGTTTCTTTAATAGTCTGTAGGAAATTATTTGATAGATCTAGGAAACGCAATTTGACAAGATCTGCAAACGTTTCGTCATGTATCCAGGATATGTTGTTGGACTTTAAATCTATGTAGAGGAGGTTGAAAAAATAAGCGAAGTCATTCTGCTGTAGATAGGTTATTTTGTTGAATGACATGTTAATTGTTTTTAGAGACATAATACGTGTCACAAAAACCGGTTTGACTATCCTCTCCAATTGGTTATTGCTTATCAGTAATGTGTGTGTTCGATCGTTCACCGAGAACGACTTAAGTTTGTTGTGGCTTAAATCTACATGATTACTTTTAACATCAATGACGGAGAGGGTTTGGAATATGTTGCAGTTCCTTAGGACAAGTATGCTATGTGAGTTTATTATTGCATAGGACTGTGGTTGATATATAACTGTCGCACCGGAAAGAATGTTACCTTCAAAGTTCACGTAAGGCAGGTAAAGAAAAACTGAGGCATTAAACATACGGAGGTTTCCAATCAAATGTAAATACACAGAATTCGTATAAAATGAAATTGAATTTGCTTTCAAATTCTTGAACTGTATGAAATTTACCATTTTGTCGGGTATGTTTAGAGTTTCAATGGTAGAATCGGAGACAGTAAGTTTTTCTATTTTGATATTATCCGTGATGTTGAAAGAGCGTATTCGGGAGAAAGAAATGTCAAAATGATAAATCCCTCTTCCTATTTCTAAAACATCCAGTGCACCACAGGTCATTTCTGATAATTGGACAAAGTAAATATAGGTAGAAGGAGTAGATCTTTTACAGAGGCGGGTTATTCCAGCACATAAACAAGATGTTGGACAGAAAGAAACACAGGTAATATTGTTTTCAGGAGGACAATAAGGGCAAATTGAAAAGACATCAACCGATGCTGGTTCTAAAGAAATGTCTTTTGTCCGACTGCTCACTGTTCCCGATTCACCTAAAAAAATAAAAATTTATTCATAAACTATTATTCTACATATGAGGGATTTTGTGTAATGAAATAATGTTAGGGAACCTCTTCATTTCTAAAAGTGATAGACCCAAAGCCCCATATTTTGGTTAGAAGGTACATGTATTTTTATTCGTAAATAGAGCAATGGAGAGGCTTCTTTACCTACGGGTAAATTTACACTTTTTAGATGTAAACTAAAAAAAAAAATCAATCAATTTTCATTTTAACTTGAATAAATCGAGAAACAATGACGATTTCTTCTCGACTCGGGTCCCGACCCAACCGGCATGGCAATGATGTTGTTAGACTTTTTTTCATTTTTTTTGCATTTAAGGATTTTTTGAGATTGAAAACAATCAAAATGACAAAAAAAATCGACATTTGAACGACAAAACACTATTAGTAAGGAGGTAATGTGAAGTATTGCTGTCGGTGTTACATGAATGCAGACACTTATCACTGTTTCAGGTGTTTTAGAAATATGTTGACAAATTGATGCTTCAGTATTTAAAAAAATCAAAACATTTATGTTACATTGATAATTATTTCTATGCTATTTCTATTTGTAGTTGAGTAAAGAATGGTATTGTGAAGGGAATCTGTTGATGAATGTTTTCAACTGAAGAATAATGGAGCTCTTTGATAATACAGAGACAAATGAGTGACGTCACAGTCGGACTTAATTGGGATATAGAAAATCAATAAATAAGATGAACAGGATATCAATATCAACTTTTTATGAAATAAAAAAGAGCAATGCCCATGGTCCACAACGCTCAACTGAGTCACTTTGACCCTGCTGTTCTTCAGAACAATAGCCCCACCCTACAACCGGCGGTCATGATTTTAACAAACTTAAATCTAAACAAATTGAGAATACCTGCGTAATTATATAACTAATAAAGGCCCTTTTCTTTACAAGAAGTAATTTCAACATTTTCCTACATATTACAATGAAATATTTTGATACCCTATTGTGACCCAATCCTTCTGCACCATGTTTTGAACAAACTAAAATCTACAAATCTGAGGATACATACACAATAATATGACTAATCATGACTTCTGTCATCCTTGAGAAGATTTTAAAACGAAATTTCCTCCATAATCTCATATAAATCTTTGATCTCCTACTGTTTCCCTAACCCACCCCCCTGTGGCCATGGATTCAACAAACTTGAACCTACACTACCTGTGAATGCTTGCATATCACTAATCATGACCCTACTGTTCTAGGAAGAGTTTTAAAGATTTTTCCTTTGTATTCCAATGCTAAACTTTTGCCGTCTATTGTGGCCCCATTCTACCACCTAAGGCCATGATTTGAACAAACTTGAATCGATCTTTACGATGTCAAAAGTCTTATCTTTTCTGGCCAAGTGATTTTTGAGTCAAGATTTTTGTAAGATACCAACCCTATTTTTCCTTTCTCTTGACTATTTCCCTGTCAAAAGGGAGTGATTCTTCATTGAACAAATTTGAATGCCATTTATCCAATGATACGTTATGGTAGGTTTGGTAGAAATTGACCCAGTGGTTCTCGAGAACAAGTCGAAAATGAGAAAAGTTTTACAGAGGAACAGACAGACACACGGGCGCAGGACAAATGTGATCAGAAAACTCACTTGAGCTTTCAGCTCAGTTGAGCTAATACTAATGTGAAATACTTCATATACCTATAATTAGAGACACTTATAACAAACTATATCCACATGTAAAACATTTAACGTGTTTGCATAAACCCCAAAGTAGAAAAGGAAGAACAATAGTTATTAACCAATTAATTTACTTGACACGTAAATTTAAAATCTAAAACGTCTTACATGTCTCTTCGTCCGACATATCTTTGCAGTCCTTAAGGGAATTGCATACAAGACTTGGTAAAATGCATTCTCCACTGGAGCAGCGAAACATTTCGAGAGGGCAACTTCCTGAACAAAACGCAAGTATCAGTGCTGCGATAAAGTATGGTGCTTTCGTAATATAAATTTTTTAATCAATATTATTGATCATCATTATCAGCATTTCAATAAGTAAACATAAATAAACTGCTTGCTTTTGAAGTAAACGTTGACCCGAAACCATAGTCTACAGTAAAATGAACTCACCATTGCATATTCCTTCTGTGACACTGATATTGTCTAAATGTATCACATTGTTCCCTTTAAATCTGAACCACACTCTGAACATTATCTAGAAATATCGTATATATATCATTGATGATTTTTATTACTACATGTAACACTAACCTTTGAAAAAGAGTAGAGATGTATATTTTTTCCTGATGAAGGAACTTTACGACAAGTGGATGTGTAAATAGATAACCAAAGTTATACTCAAGGCAATGTAAAAAACAGTCATCTCAGATACTCTCATCTCGTTGCAGTTTACATGAACATGGATTAAACAGAATATCTTTATAAATGAAAACAGTTTATTATACTCACCCTAAAATTGGGAATGAGTGGAAGATCCACAGATTGTGTACCACTAATCCACTCCTCTGAGCTGTTTGTCAACCAACGGCTGCCGTGTTCCATCAGGAATTTGTCGTTCCTGCTTTGAGTTAGTATTTCCATATAAGACACAATGAGGACAGAATGACCCTTTATGGCATAAGAATAACGCAGGCATCTGTACAGGAAAAAAGCTGGCAGTTCCCCACTTAATACGTAGGAAGTATAGAAAGTCCTATACTTATTACTTTCAGGGCGCCCAACGTTCCGGTTACTGGAGGTCAGAACAAACCCACTTAGTCCAAGAAGACCTAGGAGAAACCAAAAAAATGCCGGAATTTCCTGAGAAATAGAGAAGCAGCTTTAAATTTTGAATGAAAAATAAAACACAGGGGTAAGTTACGATTTGCCAATTGAAAAAACATTTTACCTTTGACATTGCCGTGTTGCCATTTTTCGTGCAATCTATGTCTTGAAAATGGATCAGCATGCTTAAATCCAAGGTTTACGTCACATGTGTCTTGGAGGTCGGTAGAGGTGGGGAGATGCGGACAAAGGTTCCAGTACTGATTGCTGCCTACCGGGGAGGAAAAATTTCTGCCTGTTGTCCAACCACACATGCTTTGCTCAAAGTCACAATCAACTGCAGATACACAATGTCTTAAATAAGCTTTTTAAAACCTTTTTCTTTAAAACTTATAGTTCCCTTTCCAAAGAGGAAATTCTTCAAAATCCTATGTCAGTTTTAAATATTTTTAATATTCTCAACAATCAGATTGAATTTTATACTGGATTCGTAATTACATAAAAATCCTGGCAAACAAAGATACATATATTAGCAAATGTTCTACCAAGTATCTTTCTTTACTTCTCACTAAAATATGAACAGCACTGAAGGAGAAACTTCAGGAGTACTGTACAACAATATATTCGAGAATTGGTGTAAATCATATTTGGATACTTAAAAAAATCCAAGGAACTTTCAGAAAATTTGAAATTACACAATTTTACCAAAATCAATAACACCAAAAAAGTACGACTTTTCAAACCTTTATACAACCATTCCCCACGATATATTAAAGTCCAAGCTTTTTGACATCATTGACAGTTGCTTTTTTCAATTAAAAAAAAGGAACTCGTAAATTTTTTTTACCTTTTCGTTTGGCATATGCAAAACTTAAAAAGATGCTTGAGTTTCTGATTGACAATATCTATGTAGTTTTTGGAGATCGTCTTTCAACAATCTGTCGGAATTCCCTCGGATACTAGTTGTGCCTCCTTATTAGCAGACCTATTTTTGTATTCATATGAAGCAGAATTTATTTAAAACCTTCTACGTGAGAAGAAGTCTCTTGCTGTGGCCCTCAATTCAGCATTTAGAGACATCGGCGACGTTTTATCAATAAACAATATTAATTTTCATTCCTACGTTTATTCGATATCCCTTTAACTTCAAATAAAAGATATTAAAAAGTCTGAGACTATCGTTTCATATTTGGATATTTTACTAGAAAAAAGACGTTAATGTTAACCTTACAACAAAACTTTATGATAAACGTAATGACTTCAACTTTTCTATCGTCAACTTATCTTATTTATGTAGCAATATACCATTATCACCTGCATATGGAGTTTATGTCTCCCAGTTAATATGATACGCAAAAGCATGCTTTACGTATGAACAATTTCTTATACGAGGCAAAATATTGGCAAACAATTTGATGAAACAAAAATATCAACAGTATCGTTTATAGTTAACACTTCGCAAATTCTATGGGCGATGCAATGGCCTAGTCAGCAAATACAATCTGGCATTAAGTCGAACGTTGACTGCATGACGTTTTTCATACAAATTGTAAGGCCATTATTTTCACACTGAATTGTCTACGAATGTTTCCGTTTGTCCGATTATGACAAGGAGTACATGGCGGGTGTGACCGGTCGACAGAGGATGTTTACTCCTCCGTGGCACCTGATCCCTGAGATTTTAAGAGGTCCGTGTTTGCTCTGCTCCAAATTTGTATTGTTTCAATGGACTTTTGAGCTTGAATACTGTTCGTTATCTTCATACTTCATCCTAAAACACTAAAAGAAGTTTTAGAATCTAGCGAAGGTACGGTATATCAAATTCACTTCAGTTGACTGGAATGTTACACGTATAAAAAACGTAATTTTGAAGAATTTGCATCCTCCGAAAGAAAGTCGAAGCTAGATTATCGGATGTGGAACATAAGCCAGGTTCTTCTAAAATGCAGTTGTAACAATGAGCCCTGTAAATGAATTCCACCTCTATTTTTAAGCTAGAGTTAAGATGTTTACGCATCATGGTCATGCACTTTTTACGAGTTTATTTGCTCTAATTTCTGTTACTTTGGTCATTTTATGATGCAAAAGCCATCTACCAGTTAATGATGAATATTACAAGAATTTCATGAGATAACTTTCCTAACTGCCCGATTACCCCCTACTTTACTTTATATCAAAATGTTCCTCCAGACATTAAATTTTCTTTAAATAATCTGAGATGAGGAATTTTGCAATACAAGTTTATGGAGAATTTGTTGATAACTTAGCAAAAGTAGAAAATAATCAGTCATGCATATACAGTGTAATTTTGATTTTTTTTAAGAACTCCACCTATTGTTTCTGAATTTGCAGCCACTGGTCATCTACTTGAACTACGTCTTACAAGACTGTCTTTAAAAATTGAGTTTGCTCTTTTTCAAGCACATACACAGACAATTCAATTGTAATAAACCAAAATTTCACAAGTCTGACTTCACCAGAGATGAGAATTATATGGGCAGATTAAAATGATCTTCGCCAAAATGGACAATGACATTCTTTTTTTTTTTTTTTTTCATTTTTATGTTCCAATCAATAATCGTTTGATGAAGTTCGAGTTTGAGGAACCTGGTTGTACAAGAAACACTATATATTTGTGAAAAATAGGGAAAAAAGAACATTTCTCTACAAAACTGTATACTGCATGTGTACAATTTTACACATGATTTTTAATAAATAAATAATTTTTATGAGACAACGTTTAAATCTTTGGCCTGCTAGTGTTTGAAATCCCAATTGATACAAAAAATAGAAGTAATAGAAAAATGGGAGAAAGGGAAACATTTATGTGCACTTGAGGCACAAAACAAAATCGTACAAAATTGAGCATCCAAGTTTGCCAGACTATACATATAAATTCCAGTAGTTGTATAAAGTCTTTTTACATGTGTATGTGACATATCCTGAAATCGTCCGGATGAAGTTAGAAACTGCTTGGGTAATCAGAAGCTTTTAGTTGATATATGTATATTAAAGATGATTTGATATGGCTAGAATAAGGTAACAGCAGAACAAACTTGCCAAGTGAGGAAGATGCTGAAAATTGAAAGGTAAGGGATGTTTCCACGGCCATCAATAAAATTCCGAGGACACAGCAACTATCCAACACCATAGTAAGAGATATTAACTGAAAAAAGAAAACATTAGAACACAATAAAAGAATTAAAAGCAGAATTTGAAATTTAAGATCGAATTTTATTGGTCATGCTTAATTAGTATACATTTAAGGATATCCGATACTCAGTCAGGAAGGATAACTCTTTAAATTATTATTTTATTAAAAAGGTCTTAAAATGAAGCTTGAAATTGAGATATTTTTTGCAACAATTTTCATTTTATGCATCTCAATATGATTCAAGGTTCTTTGAATTCTTAGAAACAGTCTTGTAAAAAGTTGACATTAATTTTGTACCCCATAAAAGAATTCATTTTTTAGAGAAATGGAATTTTTTTAAGGTATGTCACTCGTCTAGCATTAAACACCAATGCTTATTAGCATGATATGAAATAAGATATAATATGTGATCTCTAGCAATGATAGCACAAGCTTTTTACATTATGTATTATATAAAAATTGAAGTAAAGAGAAGAACTAAACTACACTCAAGTATCAAAAAGATGCAATTTTCTCCAAATGCCTGAATACTTATATTTTTCTATCCTAAATTATATTTGTTGATCAATTTTCAATTAGAAAATGCATAGCTGGTGTTTTTATTCGCATTTCCTGAAAATATATTTGAGATTTGATCATTTTCCCTATATACGAGGGTTATCCCAGTAAAACGCGAACTTTTTGAATATTTCAGAAACTATTCGACAAAAACTAATAAATTTTTGCACATTGTTGGAAAATGATATTTTCGGTATTTTGACAACATATTTTAGGCTTGTGATGTCAGTATATAAAAACAGCATTTAAAGGGTGTTAAATATCGGTGGTCGGCGCACGGCAATTTTTTTTGACTTTTATAAGTAGCATTGTCAATGAAGTTTTCTTTATTACCAGGCTGTACGGAAATATAATGTCACAAAATTTACCTCCAAAAATACTCTATGACCTGGTGTACTCGTGTATTAAAATTCTTTAATTTGACATCATTAATGACAAATATATGACGTTGTATGCCAAAACACTTTTAATTTGATATTGCCAAAAATGGTGACGTTTGGCGATGATGCGGAGCACCAAATTATTAAGCAGTACTGTGTTGAGCGGGATATGACTCCTGTCCATACGATAAAAGAGATTTTAACGATGGAAAGACAGAAACATAAATATGAGACACAGGCTAATCCCTAGTTGAAGAGGTTTGAGGATGGTTTGACTGGTTATGCGATAGAAGAGGTGTTTTTTTAGACCAACAAAAAAGAAGAAAACTGAAAGTCAGGAGCTGGACGTCATATGTCTAAGTGAAGGCCGCTGTTAAACAATGCGAACTGTTAGGTTTAATATCGGGATTGAGGATAAAAGAAAATTAAATACAGTGCCAAATTTATGCTTAATGAATTTAAACGAATTTTATCAGAAGCACATTTCCAGAACAAATTCACAAACGCCACGAGCTACGTTTTGACGTCGTCAGTGTTGCACCGACATCTGATTTGTAAGATTCGTTTACCTGAGAGGAAAAAGTTATTTATAGTGATATTTCATTGAAATTTTCAAGCATTATTCAAAAAATGCTGATCATGATGTATGCCAATTTTTAACTTTATAGTGTTTGTGAAACAAAAGATATTGAAAATGTTCGCGTATTTCTGGGACAACCCTCGTATATATATATATATATATATATATATATATATATATATATATATATATATATATATATATATATATATATATATATATATATATATATATATATTTACATTTGCAAATATTTTTCTTAGATGAACCTATAGAAGAGAAAATATGTTCAATTCTGTATGAACTTATTAGGGGGTCAGAGGTCATGGCGTGACCGAATCACACAGCGAGACGATATCTTGTCTACATATTTCTGTCACAGTGACACTGGTTTCGGAACTTCTGAACCGTCAAAGCGATGAAAAAGATAAAATTATTGAAACATATATTTTTTTTTCGTTCAACAAATGATCGTTAGATCTTTCTTCGGTGTGAAGAATGTTTCTAATTAGCCTAAAATCACGCTTACCTCTTTAACCCGAAATTCCTTTGAAGGTATGTAAACTGAAGACGATAGCACCGCTTTTGACTTTATATATAAAGAACTCGTACAATAATAGTAAGATAATTCCCAGTAGCGATCATTGTTTTTTCATTATGAACAGATATTTCCTGAACTGGACTGCTAAACATCAATGTAAGTATTCAAATGTTGGAGCGAGGCGAACTCTCAAGACCAAACAACTTCTAGGTCATTGCGCGTCACAACATAGCAATACGGCGGGCCGTTCGTGTAATAAATGCAGTCCTATTCAGAATATTCGTCTCAAATGTAAATAAAAGTAATAAACAACAATGTTAAAAAGTTCACTGGGAAATGAACTTGGTTGGTACGTGATCAAATCTTCTGAGAAGCCCTTCGGGCTTCACAGGATTTGATCACGTGACCAACCAAGTTCATTTCCCAGAGAACTTTTTAACATTGTTGTTTATTTCTTAATTATATATATATATATATATATATATATATATATATATATATATATATATATATATATATATATATATATATATATATATATATATATATATATATATATATATGTATGTATGTATGTATGTATATATATATATATATATATATAATAGGATTAACTATAAACTTTGAAGAAATACCAGTGGTAAATTCACGTTACTATGTGAAATCAGAGACATTTTTGTGAGCATTTTCCATCACTTAAAAGCTGATTTTCAGAACCTGATGATCGGATTACCTTAAAATGATGACGTGAAAAAATAAATAAATAATTTTAAAAAATCGTGTCATTTTACTGAAAGCGTCTTTTGAGCACAAAATGAAAGTCATCACAGTGACATACAATGTAACACTTACCAGTATTTCGAATCCCAAAAGGAAAAACTATATATTTATAAAAATATATATACACAAAAGAGTTCAAGCTAATATTCAGTAAGTACTATAAGATCAAGTCAGAAAATATACCTACAGGTCATTCCATTGTGACAAATACATATAAATTCTGTACCAGCACCACTGTTAACCTAAGACTGATCCCAACATTTGATTACCTTCGTTGGACACAGAGTGTATGCACATAGGAACCTTCATTATCCAATTTCCAATGTGCATCGTTATCTGCTCTGATAATTGTAGGGATATGGCCTCCGATAATTAGAAATAATTAGAAATACTTTCTATACTAATAGACATTTTTCCCACCGCAGTTTCCTCGGACCTCCTCTTCGTCGCTGGACGAAGAGAAATATGAGAATTAAATATTTGGGTTCCATGCATGCACTGCCCGTCACCTATATATGTATTCTCTTATGATAAAATAGCAGTGACTATATTCTACAATTAAAGGTTACAGGAAATATCCCCCACCAATAATTTTGCCAGAATATATACAATCTACGATAGAAAACAATGCTGATTTTATGTAATTTCGTCAGTATATACTATATTATAGAAAACAAAGCTAAATAAAACGGTTGTTCCCATCAAAAATAACGTCTGATTATATCCTAACTCTTTAAAATTGTCATGAGGAGGGTTCAAAGTAAGCAAATTTTTGTCATTTGTTGGGTTTTTACAAGCAATGAGACTGTCATAATTGAATTGCTCTTAAATTAAAGGAACAGATGAAGATCGTGAAGTTCAACTGCATTTATTAGTAAAATGTTCTTGAAAAATAATAATAATTTTCCTATCCATAAACAAATTTATGTGACTCTATATTATCTTTGTCTAGTATCTTTCTTTAATGTTATAGGTAATAGGTTTTTTTTTTTATTAATTAATTAAGTTAATCTGGTGATGAGCATAAGTCCTGTCGTGTCTGTTTTTGTATGAGATAGGTATCTTTATACCCCAGGTTTCTTCTCAATAAATAGCATTTATTGATTATATATATGATTATATCAATCAAACAATAAATGTTTTAAAAGTTTTCAAATTTTTAATGAATATTTTTACAAATGTCGGGTTCTAAAATGCAAAAGCCTGTTGTAATTTAAATACAGTAAAATCATCAATTAGACCTCCTGATAGTTTTTTGTTCCTGGAGTAAACAGCTGTTCTGTATTTAGTAAGACACTGCTTCTGGCGTTGATTATTGCTGAGAATCAGTTAACTTTTATCATCATCCGATTAGACGCCTTTATGATGACCACCCATACAACAGCTGTAGGGTGACCAAAATACAGCATCTCCTTCAATTCAATCATATCGTTCTTCTTGTTTTCACAGCGAGATTGCCAATTTGGTCAGCACTGGATGGTACACCATCAATGAAAGTCAGGTACAGGTATATGCATGCATGAATTCCTAACTACAATCAAGCTTGCAAACTTGTTTTTCTTATCAGAAAAACAGTTATCATCTTTTCATGCGAATAGTTCGCGAATTGACCAAAAATTTCGCACAACAATGAAAAATTTTGCGTTCAATATAGTAACTAATAAAAAATTCTACATTGTTGTGACTCGTAAGATCTAGCAATCATCACGAATCTATCATCCGTCTATCCATGGCGTTAAAAAAGTGCTCAGCAAAAAAAATTGTGCTCTGTTAAATTTGGTTTAACAAAAATAATGTAAAAATAAAAGAAGAAAGTTTTGAATTGTTGATTTTTTTTTTAAAAAAACCTGTGAACGAAGTTTAAAATGAAATTAGTTTCTTTCTTCCTTTTTTAAAACTACATAACCATTCAGGTACATGTACCTCATGTACCTTAATAAAAAATTCTGTTTTGGGGGGAGGGTGTTTTTGAAATATTTATTGAAGTATATTTTATGCTGTAGTTTCAAATTATAATACTAGCAACGTACATTATACATAATAAATAATAAGGTAAATGTAGAAAGATAGACCTTTTCTGCATTCACCAAGAATCGGTTGTAGCGCGAGCTGTTTGTCTTCTCAATCACCACCATTGCGCAATCGCAGAAGGAAGTTGAGAGAATATTTATTTGTTTACTTTTTTATTTGATAGATGTGAAGTTTAGAAGTATAAGTAAAAAGAATGGGTCTATTTGGGAAAGAGAAAAAAGAAAACCCAAAGGAAATGGTAAGTATTTATTTTGAATTCTGTTTATAGACTGACATTTATCAATGATAATGTTAACTGTAATTTCCTCTGTTGTTGTAAAGATTGTCTCTTGTTTTACAACGGAATGAACTGGGAGGAAGATCGAAATGTTAGTGTATGCCTTGTAAAGTCCAGGACTTCCTTGTAAAAATGTAAGGGTGTTTCTGACATGGATCGGACACCCGCTTATTTTTAGACATGATAGGGCTGAATACATGAATACCGTGTTTACTGTTTTGGAATTATTTGGAAAGGAAGAAAACTTTTTTAAATGGATAACTGTTTCCTATGACATTTAACTGTGATGATGTATTACTGTGAATATATTATGTTCAATGATGTTCAATGATATTTTGAATTCTTTTTAATGTAGTACCGACCCCAAAACAAATATTTTAAAGGTCTTCAGTGGGATAGATTTGTTACACAAATAATTTATGCCCTAATATGGCGTCATCCATGGTGTGAAATGGAAATCTGTATCGGGACTTGGCTTTGCCTAGCCCAATACAGATTTCCTTTCACACACAGGATGACTTCATACTAGGTCACAACCTAACTGTGTAACTAATAATATGGATTATGGACCATGGATACAGTGTTTGCAACTCACTGCAAAATTAGCCAGACATGCAGGGCTGACTGCTAGTAAAAGTTGTCAGCCCTAGCTGCCAAAGATCTACTAGCCCGAGAAAATAATTGTCTTTTATAAATTTGTTTTTAACGATTATGAGATTGAAACCAGGTCACCATAACTTTGAACCAGAATCTATAGACTGATGAATTCTTCCTCTTGGCTTAATTTTTACACTTTGCTACCGATACTTTTAGTTGATATGAAAGATATGAATTTTAATTATCGAAAATTTTAACATGTCCAGCCAGGCGTCAATACAACCAGAATTCAATGGAATTGTTCGTCCATTGTAAAATTTGTGCATCTCGGGCGGTCGGGCGCATGGTTATTTCAAACACTGCATGGATATCATCCCGGAAAGCTCAGGGGTTAAAGAACCTGACTAGTTATACAGGGGTAGCCCAGGGGTTAAAGAACCTGACTAGTTATACTGGGGTAGCTCAGGGGTTAAAGAACCTGACTAGTAAAACAGGGGTCATAGTTTCAATTCAGTTGGAGGGAGCTTATGTGATTCTATCAGCATCAGTGTCAAAGTCAGCATCCCATGTTAAAGTTTTTGGTGCAGTTTTCTTTTTAAGTATTTCTGTGCCCTACATTAATCAGAGATGCATGGAAGATGCTTCTAGCTACATTAATCAGAGATGCATGGAAGATGCTTCTAGCATGTTTCAATGTACCAGTCAAGGATTCAGATGCTGAAATTTCAGCTAAAGAAAGTTGGGGCAGGTAAAAGTTTTTGGTACAGGTTAAAGTTTTTGGAGCAGGTTCATTCTAAAGTAACTTTAAGTCCTATTTTGACCATACTTGCATGGATGATACATCTAAGGATGCACAGTACCAGGCTTGCTTTCAGATCCTGGATCTGACCTACATTTTCTGGATGATGGAACAGGTTAATGTTTTTGGAGGAGGTTCATTCTAAAGTAACTATAAGCCCTCTGTTGACCAAACTTATATGGATGATACATCTAAGGATGCACACTACTGCACTTGCTTGGGATGCTGGATCTGACCTACATTTTTGGGATGAGTGACCAGGTTGAAGGTTTTGGAGCAGGTTCATTCTAAAGTAACTATTTGCCTTACCTTGACCAAGCTTGCATGATTGATACATCTAAGGTTGCACATTACTGTACTTGCTCTTCAGATGCTAGATTTGACCTACATTTTTCAGATGAGGGACCAGGTTAAAGTTTTTGGAGCAAGCTCTTAAGTAACTATTTGCCGTACCTTGACCGATAATCTAAGGATGCACACTACTGGACTTGCTTCAGATGCTGGATTAGGCCTACATTTTCCAAATGAATGATTAGGTTAAAGTTTTTGGAGCAGGTCCATTACCAAGAAACTATAAGGCCTATCTGAACCAACTTGCATGGATTATCCATCAAGGGATGAACACTCTCAAACTTGCTTCAGATGCTGGATTTGAATTACATTTTCTGGATTAGTGACTAGTTTGAAGTTTTTGGATAAGTTCATTCTTAAGTAACTGCAAGCCCCATCAGATCAAAATTGCATAAATGTTGCATCTTGGGATGTACACTACTATATGTACATTATTACTGGTAGTTAAGTGTGGGACTTTGCCTTACTTAAAGACAACATTCATTGAGGTGAGCTATGTAATCTCTGATTACCTATGTTTATTACTTGCAAGGACATGTAATCAGACTCATCATCAAATTCAGAACATCTTGTTAACAATGCATAATCTTTGTAACAAGAAGTTCATAAAATGATGTTGCATGCTAAAATTCTCAGGATTTTGAGAAATTTTCCTAAAAATGATTACCAATAGGCATTATGATTATTAAAAGCATAACAATAACTGGAAGGTAGCACAAGGACCATGGCAATAAACACAACATTACCCAGCATCTGAACTCTTAAGAGATGGTTTTCAATCTGCCTATTTCAGTATTTGGTCTATCAATTCTTCACTATCTCATAAGATGTTGCACAAGAATGCTTGTGTCTTACTTGGATGTGTTGCACATGTATTGCTTTAATTTTAAAAAGAGGCAATGTTGCAAATTACATTTTCAGTTGTTGCATAATAGAGGAGGAGTAAATTCTGCTAAGTTTTTTCATGTTAATTACCCTTATTTTAGCTAATTTTTTTTATTACTTATATCTGTACATATAAGCAGATGATATGTCCCATTTCTGAATCACCACTGGATTTTAAAAATTTTCATTCTCTTTGACAGGTGAATCAGTGGACCCACAATTTGAGGAAGGAAGGGTACAACATAGATAGACAGATAAGAGGTTAGTCTATAGAATGTCAGACATGTCAATCCATTAGAGGTTAAACTACAGAGAGTCAGGCATGTGTAAAAAAGGAAAGGAGGAAATGTATGGCTGGACCGGGAATCAAACCTGGGACCCCTGCATGACTAGTCGGTTGCTCTAGACTACCGACCGAGCTACCCGGGCCAAAACATTACACATGTCAATCCATTAGAGGTTAAACTATAGAGAGTCGGACATGTCAATCCATTCTGTTATTTCTCAATCTCAAGTTAAATATTTTATAGATTATTATTCAAACACAAAAGTACATGTGGATAAATCAACATATGATAATGAACATGGCAGTTTTGATGCTGATGATATACAGTGAAATCTGTCTAATCCAACACCTGGGCAATCTGTTTCACTGTGAATTCTGACTCTTATTTTCATTCCCATTTTACTATTTCCATGTTCATTACACTGTAATCCAACATCCTGTCTATTCTGATATTTTGTCTCCCAGTGCATGTCAGATTAGACAGGTTTCCCTGTATTACCTGCTTTAGTAAACAAAGGCTATTACAACATTACAGTTGAACAGATTGTACAGTACATGATAATTTTATTAAACCCTTGAATTCTTATTATTATGTGCTTCGTAGGAATTCAGAGAGAAGAAGAAAAAGTTAAAAGATCTCTGAAGGAATCAGCTAAAAAAGGAGAGAAAGAATCTTGTAAAATCCTCGCCAAAGAAATCGTCAGATCACGTAAAGCTGTCAACAGACTCTACACATCCAAGGCACACATGAATTCAGTTCAAATGCAGATGAAAAATCAGCTAGGTAGGGCAATATAAAATTTCATATTTGCATTTTGAATTATCAAAGTTGTCTTATTGATTAATGTTGCATTAAAATGTTCAAGATACTTTGTTAAACTAATGTTTGCAAGGAATTGTACCTCCAATTAGCAATAGTTTGAGAAGATTGAGAAACAAGATCATTTCTGTAATTACAAGAATTTACAATGAAGTTTTTTTTAACTGTACAATTTACAATTTTTTATTCAAACTTGAATAATGACATCATTCAACATGGAGCTGATCTTTGGAGTAGTGAGTGAGCAGGTAGTGAAGGTTTTATTTGCTGTTTGATCTGTTCTGTTGACTGATGTCAGTGGAGTCTCTTTCCTCTCACCAATAAACAGGAATGAGGACTTTTTTACAGCCACAGTATAGATCTTCAATAAGTTCCACATTAAGTTCACCTGATCCAAAGGGAGATTTGGTGATCGAAGAGTGTTTTGTGTTCATCTGACATGTGTTAATATTTGTATATTTTCACATTAATCATTATCAACTTCTTCTCCAGAACCATTAGGCTAATTTAATTAAAATGTAACTTTACTCAAAGCATTCTTAGATGAAAGGGATTCAGATATTTTTAATGAAAAGCCCTGCTCCATTTAAAGGAGAGGTAATAAAGAAATAGTGGTTTGGTAGCATTATTTAAATCTCTTCTTCTCAAGAACCAATGTGTCAGAAGAGAGTAAAAAAAAAGTTATGTGAAGGCTTCCTTACATAGTTTAAATCTAAATTTTGTCAATTCTTGACCAATGTGGCTAGGGTGGGCCACAATAGGGGTTCAAATTTTTAAATAGGAACATATACAAGAAAAATGTTCTCAAGAAAAACTAGATAACAATTAGTGATATTGATATGCAAGTTCATTTCCTCTTTTAGTGTAAATTCAAGTTTATATTGCATGTCCCCTGGGGGAAGTCCTGAGGTGAACAAAAGTAAGAGTAGGATTTGTTTTATTGATAGTAATACATAGGAAAACTCTTTAAAAACATCTTCTCAATAACACCAGGTCTTTAGTTGAGGTATGGAAAAGCATCCTCATTTAGTGTGGAAATCATGATGTACAAGAGTGGGACCAAAATAGGGGGTCAACATTTGACATGGGGATATTCAGGAAAAAAATCTGTAAAAGTTTCTCAAGAACTAGTACAATACATTGTAGTTAACATCCCCATGTCATTTAAGTGTATGCATGATGCAATTGTTACTTGTAGGGCAAGGACAGGGTCATAACTTGGGAACAAATTTTATACAAATGTATATGACAAGAAAAAATGGCTGCAGTTATTATAATGGATATACTCTTGTGAGCATTATAGCCCATGGGGCTCTAGTTAGATCTTAGTAAAAAATGATTTGAATAAATGTGCAACATACAGAGTCATGAATCAACAAAAGATGTTAAATGTAATTTTGCTATCAATGATTATTTTTGGATATTGTAGCAACCTTAAGGATAGCAGGTGCCCTGGAGAAGAGTACAGAGGTGATGAAGTCCATGCAGGCTTTGATTAAAATCCCAGAAATCCAGGCCACTATGAGAGAAATGTCTAAAGAAATGATGAAGGTAAAGATGCCTATAGATGTACCGGCACATGTTTGTGACTTTGACACATTGTCAATAAAGTATGTTCAAATTCAAAACAATCCCTTACCTTTTGTTTATTTGCTAAGCTACATGTAAGCATCAATCTGCAAGTTGTCAATTTACTTTTGAACCAATGTAGTAAAAATTAAATCTGTTCGTCTAGAAGGTCTCATGAGATTAACATGATTCAGTATGATTTCTACAATGTTGGACCTCAGCTAATCAGAAATATTCAATCATGTAATAATAATGTAAAATGTTGGTGGAAATTTTTTTTTTAAAAAGTCCAAATCATCTATACAACTACAGTGTATGATTGTTACATGTTTACGTTTAAGGTGGGCATTCTGGACATAATGATTGTTACATGTTTATATTTTAGGCAGGTATTCTGGAGGTGATGATTGTTACATGTTTAAGTTTTAGGCAGGCATTCTGGATGATTGTTACATGTTTATGTTTTAGGCTGGCATTCTGGATGATTGTTACATTTTTAAGTTTTAGGCAGGCATTCTGGATGATTGTTACATGTTTATGTTTAAAGGTCAACTGAAATGATTTTTCACTTTCATTTAATTAACCCCTTATTATCTTCAAGTAAACCATAGAATTTAAATTATATTAGTTATTCGGTTATATCTTAATGTATTTCCGAAATATTTACGGTAAAAGTTGTCACACCTGAAATCTGACCTAAAATTTTGTGCGAGTTATGCCCCTTGACACGAACCCGCCATATTGAAACTACAGACGCTGAAACGTCATGCTTCAGACGATAGGGGATTGAGAAATAAAATATGGTGCTGTGTGCAGCACCAAACTGTAATATCCGATACGGACAGGGTGTGTCTATGTTTTCCTTCCCCGAGGATCCCAAATTATGCCAAATTTGGGTAAGAAAGCTGAAAACCATTAATTATTGGCCATCCAAACATTCAAAGCTTTGCGAGCGGCATTTTACCCCAGACTGTTTTATAATTGAGCCTTCCAGAGCGCGATGCATGGGGTATAGTCGACTCCAGTTAAAAAAAGATGCCATACCTAGCATGTTTGACTATACTCCATTGGATACTAAAGCCATTAAAGGCCATAAAAGGAAAACAGCAGATGTAGATGTTTCCTATGTACCAAAACAAGGTCGGACATCGAAAGTTTTGGAGAAAAGACGTGCACTCGCAGTAAGTTTTTTTTTTATTTTTGAAATGGATTTACGAAATTTTAATGCATCTATATTTGTTTAAATTATTAGTTGTGGTGTAGAGAGTAGATTTGTCCACATACATTGTACTTTAAATAACGAATTTCATTACAATACCTGCATGAATTACATATAATATATGTAATTCATGCAGGTATTGTAATGAAATTCGTATATAATGATAATATACAGGTGTTTACAATGAACTTTCCTTTCGCCCTGTGGGGCCTTGGTAAATAAACAAATTAAATTTAAAAATATATAGGCCTATATAACGGTACCTGTACTGAAAAGTTAATCACAATGTGGTAAACTTTAATAATATTTGTAATCTTAATCAGGCTCAGAACCTTAATGAAGATGCAGAGATTATTCTTCCTCCTCCGAGCCAGTTTCAGGACAGCCCAGAGACTCTAAACACAGAACCAAGCTGTCAAAGTGGAGCACACACAATGACTTTTGAAATGTCTACACAGACTAATTATGGGTTGGTGGTAAGTTTTGTTTCATTTGTATTGATTTGCTATTGATTGAAACAGAACATTTTGAATTTATCAATTTATTATAAAGAAAATATTTTAATTAAATAATTTTCATATGTCTCATTTTAATTTTACTTCATGACTTTTAGAAACGCAGGCATGTCTCTATACAGACAGAGATTCGGCCCAGTACAATATCAACTGGTACCCAAACAGAAACAATGTTTTCATTGGATGCACCTGAGGACCTTGACGAGAGCTTCGAGTCACTGGCCAGCACTGATTCTGCAGCTTCAGAATGGATTCCACCTGATCTTGATGAAAACAACAACATAGATCATCATCATGTTCCTCCAAGTCACTGTAGAAGAAAATTTATTGTATTTGAAGAATGTTTAGACCAGCTTCTCCAGATTTGTACAATATGTGGACAGAAGTGTGACATTAAGAAAACCATAGTTGGAACTCTGTTGTTTGTGTCCAGGGTATGTGTCTGTGGGGAGACTTTCACATGGGGATCACAACCCTTCACTGGATCAATTCCTACTGGAAACTTGGTCTTGTCAGCAGCAATTTTGATTAGTGGCAGTAGCATAAATCAAAGTTTGACCATGTTTCAACATGCTAATATATCCTGTTTCTCAGAGAGAACCTATCACAACATCCAACAGCATTATCTTGTACCAGCTGTTGAAAGGGTTTGGAAAGTACATCAAGATGCAATATTTGATGTAATAAGACAACAAAATGTAGCTGTTGTTGTTGGGGGAGATGCTAGATGTTGTTCACCTGGACACACAGCTAAATATGGATCATATAGTTTGATGGATCTGGAGCTGAGACAGATACTTGATGTTCAACTAGTTCAGGTAAGAAGAGTGCAATACCTTTTATTATTATTTTTTACCTTACTGCACTTGCATGCATATATTACTTGGCCAAAAGTGGAAATATTAACATCAACATTCAGCACTGAATACCAAATAGCATGCCATGTTTAAAATGAGTTTAAGTTCTCAAAACATTATATGCTTAACTTTTTAAGAGCAATGAAGTCAAAAGTTCATATTGGATGGAAATGGAGGGTTTGACGAGGTGCCTTAAGAGAGTTGAAGAGGAGGGAGTAGTTATTAGTGACCTTGTTACTGACAGACATCCCCAGATTAAAGCTTACATGAAAAAAGAAAGAAGTGACATCAACCATTGGTTTGATGTGTGGCATATGGCCAAAGGTAAACTCACTTTACAGTTTTATACAATTCATTAATGCATTAGGTATTCCTCATTTAAGTTATTTACCTGAATAGCTATATATACTTATCATTTAAAAATTATTTGTGTTTTGTAGGGGTGTTTAAAAAGTTGGAGGCTATTGGGAAGAAAAAGAAGTACAAGCAAGTGGGTGATTGGGCACGGTCAGTTTCAAACCACCTATACTGGTGTGCAGCATCTAGTGAAGGAGATGGTGAATTGGTGTCTGAGAAATGGCTGTCTATCCTCAACCACATCACTGATGTTCATGAGGGTCATGGGAAGCGATTCCCCAAGTGCTTACATGGTGACCTGGAGGACAGAGATTGGATTAAGAAAGGTAACTATGTAAGCATGGGCTTGAAAAAAAAACAACACAACATTTTTGAGCCTCTACTTTGCAGATATACAGTGTAATTATGTGACACATATATTCTACAATACATAAATATATGAAAGTCTGTACTTTGTTATGAAGCAATATTGATCTGAACTACAAAAAAAATGTATCCTTATTTCAGGTAGTCTAGCTTTCCAGGAGATGGAAAAAGTTGTTAAGGGCAGACTGCTGGTGCAAGACATTAAGAAACTCTCCCCTGCAGAGCAAACTTCAGCACTTGAAGCCTACCACAATGTAGTGTGTCATTTTGCACCCAAATCTTTGCATTTCTTTTATGCTTCAATGAAGGCCAGGTAAGTATTTTTTTTCTTTTATTCAAAACTCAAATGCTAAGAATTTTTTTAAAAAAAGATTTTAATCATAATTCATGAATTCCACTGTTCTTCTTTTTTCCAGACTATACATTGCAGCCCTGCACTTCAATGAAAACTCCAGCCGGGATCAAGCTGTAAACAAAAGTGGAGAGCTAATATATTCTGTGTCATATCCAAAAGGCAGAAATGGAGCTGGCATTCCAAAGGAAGTCAAAGTAAAGCAAACATACAGTAAGTAAAAATTCTAAAACTTTTCCTATAACTCAATACATTTAGTATGTAATAGTGTGTCTTAATTTTATTCATATTAACATACATCTCTTTAAAATTTTTTTTCTCTGTTTGTTTAAAGATTATGCAATGGTTTTGATGCAAGAAGTGATCAAAGTGAGACTGGAGTTTGGTTCGTACAGTGAGTCCAGAAAGAGTCGTGAGGCTGCCATGGTGAACTGTCCTGCTTCAATTGCATCCTCGTACCAACATGTCCCAAAGTCAGAACTTGTGGAGCGCCATATCTGTCGGTTTAATAAAAAATGTTAGTTTACCATACAATCATGAACAAACAAAATGAATTGTGCTCAAATGTCAAAAACTTTCTAAGCTTGTAAACATCAATAATTTTCTAAGCTTGTAAAAATAAAATTATGTCTTTTGAGTCATGAATACAGGGATAATGAAGTTGCTTGTTTATATTACAATCCTTTAAAAAGATTCCATTGTTTTTTTTTTCCCCAAATATGTGTACCTAGGACATTCCCGTTGGATACCTAAACCCACAGTATTGCTGAGATGGAAATGCAGTTCTAATCTTTGTTACTACACATGATGGCAAGATCTTCCTGTTGTTTTTCCCCAAACATTGCCATATCCATCGCACAAATCGTCGATATGCTAGATGCCTGTAAAGACTAAGAACAGACAAACTTTTTAAAAATAATCAGAACTAACGACACTTGCAGTTAGATTCAGTGATTTTTTTTTTTGTTTTAAATAAGCTATTATTTGAAATGTATAATCTATAATACATGTCTTTACAGTTGCAGTACCAGGTACAACTCCCCCCCCCCCCCCCCCCCCCCATCCACACACAAACATTCATGCTTACAAGTAAACGATTGCTTAATTTTATTCCAAATCCTTTGACATAAAATCATGATCATTAAAAAGATAACATTTAAAATATTTTCTAGAATTGTGAAGTATATCTGTTTTTGAGTGCTCCATAAGTTCAGACAGTATTAAATATTCCTTTCAATCAGAATGACCAGAGGTATTTACATGCATGTATAGTACTTCTTTATCTGTATTATCAAGATTACATTTTACAATTTTACAACAACAAAAAAACCTACTTGTGTACTAATTCATTTTCTTCCAGTGGTCCATGTTCTTCTAGATATTCATAAATTAAAGGATGTCTCTAAAACCCATCTGTTGAGACAGTTTGCTGCAAAACCCTCGTGTTCTGTGATGCAGGTCTCTCCTCTCTCTTTCAACCTTGACTCAATAGCAGCATAAAAATGGCAACATTTGCATTCTCTTGCAGTTGGCATAGTAATGCAATTTTTACAGGAACACCTGCACCCCAAAATAAAAAAATGTTACCACCCATATTTGCAATTTTTTAGCATTCATGTAAATAAAGTATACTTTTCATGAATATAACTATATAAATCATAATTCATGAAAAATACTTAGTAGTAAATGTAATCCAATTTACACTGTCCATACGACAATTAAATTTCTTTAAATTCATACTATCTTTTATATCTCCATAGGCTTTGAAACCCTAATTTTTTTTATTTATTTATTCTCGTCCATCAACAGCTGTCCTATCGTGTTTAGGACCAGTATACCAATATGAGCATGAAGTACTAATCCTAGAATCAGCATACTTAAAATCTACCTCTAAATTCAAGGTTCTTAAACTTTTTTTTATGCTGATCATTTCATATACTTTTAGTTAATACTTAAAATACATGTATGACTGTATACCAGTGCATGTCTGACGGCAGTTGTTCAGAGATTTCATCATCACTATGGACGCTGCCTTGTGCCGACTGCCCCGAGTCACTTTCATCGTCAAACGGCTGTCTTGTTGTTTCTTGTCTTTTAACTGGCTCGTATTGATACGGCTGCACAGTCAGTTTAAGGGTTAAGTCTATTTCAGGTATACTTTCGTCCGTGTCACTTTCGTTAGACTCGTACATCATGGGCGACGCCATGTTCCACTAAAGGGCAGATAACTCATATCGGACCGTTTTACCTGAGCTTCGGATTTGAGAAATTTTTACCTGTGTTTCAACGGGTAAAAAAAAATAATCATGGGACAATTCTTTTTTAGGTATCAACTTCCTAAATAAGTAGTTTAAACAGACTTTGAGAACCTTTTCAGTTGACCTTTAAGGCAGGCATTCTGGAGGTGATGATTGTTACATGTTTTTGTTTTAGGCAGGCATTCTGGAGTTGATGATTGTTACATGTTTATGTTTTAAGCAGGCATTCTGGAGGTGATGATTGTTACATGTTTATGTTTTAAGCAGACATTCTGGATGATTGTTACATGTTTATGTTTTAAGCAGGCATTCTGGAGGTGATGATTGTTACATGTTTATGTTTTAAGCAGGCATTCTGGATGATTGTTACATGTTTATGTTTTAAGCAGGCATTCTGGATGATTGTTTCATGTTTATGTTTTAGTGTTTTAGGCAGGCATTCTGGAGATGATGATTGTTACATGTTTATGTTTTAGGCTGGCATTCTGGAGGTGATGATTGTTACATGTTTATGTTTTAGGCAGGCATTCTGGAGGTGATGATTGTTACATGTTTATGTTTTGGATGGACATTCTGGAGGTGATGATTGTTACATGTTTATGTTTTAGGCAGGCATTCTGGAGGTGATGATTGTTACATGTTTATGTTTTAGACAGGCATTCTGGAGGTGATGTTGGTTCCGTGTTTATGTTTTAGGCTGATATTCTGGAGGTGATGATTGTTACATGTTTATGTTTTAGGCTGGTATTCTGGAGGTGATGATTGTTACATTGTTATGTTTTAGGCTGGTATTCTGGAGGCGATGATTTTTACATGTTTATATTTTAGGCTGGTATTCTGGAGGCTATGATTGTTACATGTTTATATTTTAGGCTGGTATTCTGGAGGTGATGATTGTTACATGTTTATGTTTTAGGCAGGCATTCTGGAGGTGATGATTGTTACATGTTTATATTATAAGTGGGCATTCTGAAGGTGATGATTGTTATATGTTTATGTTTTAGGCAGGCATTCTGGAGGTGATGATTGTTACATGATTATGTTATAAGTGGACATTCTGAAGGTGATGATTGTTATATGTTTATGTTTTAGGCAGGCATTCTGGAGGAAATGTTAGAGGATACAATGGAGACCCTGGATGATGATGAACTGGAGGAAGAAGCTGACTCAGAGGTTGAAAAAGTCCTTTATGAACTCACTGCAGGTAAAGAAAATTATTATAGGTATTAAATAAAAAATATGGTTTTCTTAACATGGCAGATAAAGAAGTAGCCTGTAATTAATTGAATCCTGTAGAAAATAGAGAAAAATTCCTTGTATACCACTATTGAGAATTAAGTCTGAAGTGCTTGCATTTCATTCAGATATATTCAGATGTATATTAGAATATTCAAATTTAAAGAATGATTAGTGTAAAAGTCTATAGCTGTGTGCTATGACATACTGATGTGAATGAAACTTGTATGATTTTCATGTATGAAAAAATATGCGGAGTAATTCTCTTTCACATGGACAATTATTCTATCTAGATTTTTAACTCCAGTATATTTTTATGTCCCCGGATCGAAAGATCCTGGGGGTATATTGTTTTGTCCTGTCTGTCTGTTTGTCTGTTTGCCTGTCTGTTGTCAACTTTAACCTTGCCCATAACTTTTGATTGGTTGGAGCTATGACTTTCATATTTCACATGTGTATTCCTTGTGACAAGACCTTTCTTTGGGTACCATCACATTTGACCTTTTGACCTTGACTTTGGAGTTTGACCTACTTTAACAAAATTTTATGAGACTTTAACCTTCGCCATAACTTCTGAATAGTTGGTGCTTGGGGTTTCAAACTTCACATGTGTATTCTTTGTGGCAAGGCTTTCCATTGGATACCAACAACTTTGACCTTTTGACCTTGACCTTGGAGTTTGACCTACTTTTGAAAAACTATAACTTTGGCCATAACTTTTGAACAGTTGGTACTTGGGGTTTCAAACTTCACATGTGTATTCTTTGTGGCAAGGCCTTCCATTGGATACCAACAACTTTGACCTTTTGACCTTGACCTTGGAGTTTGACCTACTCTTGAAAAACTTTAACCTTGGCCATGACTTTTGAACGGTTGATGCTAGGGCTTTCATACTTCACATATGTAATCCTTGTGACAAGACCTTCCTTTGGATACCAACAACTTTGACCTTTTGACCTTGACCTAGGAGTTTGACCTACTTTTGAAAAACTTTAACCTTGGCCATAACTTTTGAATGGTTGATGCTAGGGCTTTCATACTTTTCATATGTAATTTTTGTGACATCACCTTCCTTTGGATACCAACCACTTTGACCTTTGACCTTGACATTGGAGTTTGACCTACTTTTGAAAGGCTTTAACCTTGGCCTTAACTTTGCAATAGTTGGTGCTAGGGCTTTCATACTTCACATATGTAATCCTTGTGACAAGACCTTCCTTTGATACCAACAACTTTGACCTTGACCTTGATGTTTTACTTACTTTTAAAAAACTTTAACCTCCATCATAACTTTTGAACAGTTGCAGCTAGGGCTTTCAAATTTCACAGGTATATTCCTCGAGACAAGACCTTTTATTTGGGTACCAACATTTTTCATCTTTTGGCCTGGATTTTGACTTTCATTTGAGAAACTTTACCTTAACCTTCGCCATAAGCTGCCATACGAGGGCATCAGTGTTTCACAAACACGTCTTGTTTTTAAGTTACAGCTATACTTTTAGTGTGAAATGAATTAACAAAAACTAAATTAATTGATCTGATATCACATACTCCTCCTTTCCATAAAAAAAGAAAATTAAAATGGATACTATTGATTTCTGTAACAGTATGTTGTTGCTTTACAGGAGAGCTTGGGAAAGCCCCTGCAGCTGTTGCCGACACACTTCCTGTTCCGGAGCCAGAGGGTGCCACTGCCATGTCAGATGAAGAAGATGAAGATCTCACAAGTCGACTGGAGGCGCTACGCAGCTGATGACAGAATCAAAGATTATTTAATTTGTTTTTATATTGATAATATTATTGAAAATACATGTTTTTTGGATTTTGTGCAGACTTTTTACATTGTGATAAAATAGTTGGAAGTTTATTTAAACTGCCAAACTCTAGTAAATCATTGTACAAATTGATGCACTATAGCTGTATATACTCAATGTGTAGGCCATTGTATAAGATGGACATAAGGGTGACCCTTGGTTATGCACTGACATTGAGGATACTTTATATCAGGAACTACTACACAAGTCTCATTGACAAACACATACTAGTATGAAAGTAAATATTCTCATTATTTATATTATTTTTATAGAAATACAGTCAAATTTGTTATCTTGAATTCGATTGGACCAAGATTAAACTTCGGAGATATCTGAGGATTTGATATAATAAATATTAAGAAAAATTCACTGTGACTGCCAAACCACTTTGACATATCCCTTCAGGCTTGTTTTTGAGATATTCGACGTTCAAGATGATGGAAGTTCCACTGTATGTCTTTCATAGAAAAGATGGAAATTTTTGAAGTTGAGAATCTTCAAGACATCTCTGTGAATGTCAACAAAAGTCAATATATGGAATTGACTTGCTTAGTATGTAAATGTCTGCAAATGAACAAACTAGTGGCATTTTTATTTACCATGGAATCATTTTAATTCAAAGGGTTCAATGTTCATGGGCTGTCAAAATTTTACTGGACTATTTTGTGAGTATTATAACTGGTACAGAAGGTTCAAACAATGAATAGAGATGTCGGATGATAGAAGAAAATTCGTGGTTAAGGATGACCCATGAAATCTGTGAGCATTGGCTTCTTCAAAACAAAAAAAATATTCTACACTATTCAAAGCTGCATTATTTAATAGTATATTTCATGACAGACAGAATGCATTTAGTGATGAAATTGTCAGATGATAGGACATATCAATACTTTTTTCACTTACTTGTGTGCTGTTTGCCTATAATCTGTCATTATCCATATAGCCAGGTTGAGGACTCAGGATACATACACAGCTGATCACATTCCTGGTTAATCCATGAGCATTACAAGTATATTTACAATAGAACTCTAAACCTCAGTTCACATTTTAACAGCTAAAATAAGAATCCAGATATGAAAACCATCCTTTTGTGTCTATTTCTTGTAATTCTGAATTTTTATATGAACAGCTATTTTTCTTAGTTTAAATGTCATATTGTAAATATTGCTTTGTATGTATACTTCAGTTTTTGAATCATTTATCAGAATGTTTTATAATATGCAATACTATTATATCATTAAGTTTTATGCAACACTACATGTATATCCTTTACTTTTTTTCCCAATGAAATATGTTTTTGTAGATGAAACTTTGGTTAAGTATACATTACTTAAAAATATGTATTTTTTCTCATGAGAACAATGTTGATATTTGAATTTTTATATATATATTTAGTCCAGGAATTCTCTCCATTTGTTGATCAGTTAGACATGTACCAGAAAATATGTGTTGAAAGAATTTAATTCAGAACTCCAGATACACTTGTATTTTCATATAATAAACTGTACCAAAAAAAGCTTGATACATTGATGAATGCACTCTCATTCAAAACATATATTTATTTGGAACTGTTATGATTTATTTATGCATCTTTTTTCATCTTAGAATTTTTTTTGTACCATTAGCTTTATAAAAACTCATGGAATTTGTGACAAGTGCTAGTAGCTTACAGTTTTAGATTTGTTGTAATCACATTATGAAAGTAGTTAAAATTATAGGCATAATTCTTAAAAGAAATTTTGGGGGTTTTGATTTCTAAAAGATGGATTCATTTAGAAATGTTTAGAGTGTAAATGGGTTGAATATGGTTATAAATATTTCAACAAATCCAGAGTAGACTGTAGCCTCAAAAATATTATGCAATGTTTAGCCAAACATATTTTTTTTACAATATTGTAAAGGACTTGCATGTACCAGCTTTCACTTGTACAAGTAACATAATGTATCAGGTTTCACATTAGAATTTTTAGTAAAACAATGTATCAGGTTTTGCGTTTGATTTTTTGTTATGACTCATTTTCTCATGTGTCAGATAAAGTACTTGTTACCATGACTACCATCTCCTTGTTTGTTCTTTCATAATGACTTTGATGTGCTTTTTATTTGGTCAAAATGCTGGCTGCTGTTCATTCTTAAGAGTTAAGCTCCAGACAATTAAGTATTAACTCTACAATTACTGTGTACATATCACCACTGCAGCATACTTTTTGATATAATTTTGTTGAACCATGATGACTGCATGACATCACAGTAAAAGCAGAGCCGTAAAAACTATAAAGCACTGCAGTAAGTATATTATATTACACTAAGGATGCCACATGTTGTTACATGACTGTATGAAAAATAAGCCATCAAATCACCTGATAATTTGCTTGCATCCATTCAATACATGTATTTCACTCCAGGACCTGTACTGTACATATACTTAGATAAAGTGTCACAAATTATTACCTATACATGGTGCTTACTGATAAAGCAGTGCAGGTTTACTATCATTCCAATGCTACCATGACACAGGACCTCCAAGTGACTATATCACTTCAAATGCTGGTCACTTGGTGAAGGAACAGTCACTATGGTGTGATGCAGCACCAGGAACTCCCGGTAAAATGTTCTTTGTGTACACCCAGCCACTAACTAGGCTATACTGTGAACAGTCTCTGATCTGTTTACATTGGCAAATTCTTGTTACACATTTCTTTTTCTCTCATCAACTATTCAATACTGATAATTTCTATCCACATTCAATGTATTTTTTCCAAATGCTTTAAAAAATATGTTTATTATATTAATCATGAAAAAGTATGCTTATTACAGTATGCAGACGATACAGTTATATTCTTGGATGGATCAGAAAAAAAGTTTGAAGAGTGCATTAGATCTTCTTTTCCAGTTTGCTAAATTTTCAGGTTTAAAGCCTAATCTTTCTAAGACTAAAGCCATTTGGATTGGATCAAAAATTAACTGTAATGACAATCTGTGCAAGGAATATAATTTAGAGTGGACATCTGAGACCTTTACAATATTGGGAATAACATTTAATGCCAGTCTGGACAACATTGAAAAGATAAATTTTATTAACAGAATTAATGATATAAACAAAGAAATGGGCCACTGGGAAAAGAGACATATTACACCTCTTGGTAAAATTACAGTTATAAAATCTCTTTTTCTTTCAAAAATTACACATTTATTGTTAACGTTGCCAAAACCATGTGATGAAACTATGAAAAACCTAGAGAAATCTTTTTTTAAGTTTGTATGGAACAATAAAAATGATAAAATAGCTCGAAATATAATGATTTTAGATTTTGATGATGGTGGCTTTAGAATGCCACATTTGCCAACATTTATTAAGGCACTTAAGCTCACTTGGATCAGGAGGTTAATACATACAGATTCTACCTGGTCTAGAATATTTATGGAATCTACAGGCTGTAATATTACAAAACTCTTACAGTTTGGATCAGAATATGCTTTATATTTTAGTAAAACAACAAATAATATGTTTTGGAAAGAAGTTCTTTCTGATTATAAAGAATTTATTAATTTATTTGAACCTGAAAATATTTTTCAGGTTATGAATGAACCTCTGTGGTTTAACAGTAGTATCAGAGTACAAAATAAGTCTGTTTTTTACAAACAATTATATGCAAAAGGTTTTCATATTGTGTCTGATCTATTGGATACTGAAGGCAAATTGTTATCTTTTAATTGTATATCCATTAATTATGATGTTTTGATCCCATTTACTAATTATGAAGGGTTTAGACTTTCCATTTTGAAAAAATGGCCTGAAGTTAAACAAAATAGAACATCTGTTATTGGAATATCTATTCCTACACATATTCAGTTCCTTTGTTGTGATGGTTCTGGCTGTAAATCGTTATACAACTTCTTTCTATCCAAGCGTTATAACCAACCAGTATGTGTAGCAAAATGGACAAGAGATTTAGGGTTGCAGAATGACTTTAACTGGAAAGACCTTTTTACAAATTTAAAATACATAACTAAAGATTCAAACCTCAAATGGTTCAGTTATAAGATCATACATAGAATTCTTGGAACTTGTAAATTATTGTTTTTATCTAAAATTAAAGATAACCCACTGTGCTCTGTCTGTAATCTTGAGCAGGAAACTTTGAAGCATCTTTTTTATTACTGTCATCCTGTTAAGGGAATATGGGATTGTTTCGAAGAATGGATTTTAGAAAAAACTGGAAAAAATATAAACATAGACCCAATTTCTGTTCTATTAGGTATTTCTGGCAAAGAAAATACAGCTTTAAATGTCATTATCTTGCTTGTTAAACATTATATATACCAAAAATCTAGAAATTGTAAATCTTTGATATTTGATGAAGTTAAAAATATAATATGTAAATACTATACTTTTGAAAAATATTTGTTTGCAATAAATATGGAGGACATTCAGTTCAAAAAGAGATGGTTATTTTGGAACCATTTATTTGAAAAATAATTAGCTATGTATTACAATTATAAAGAAAAATTGCAGTTGTTTACTTTGTTATTTTTCTTATAAAGATAGTAAACATTGTAATTTGTATACATGCATAAATATAAGGAATTATATATATATATATATATATATATATATATATATATATATATATATATATATATATATATATATATATATATATATATATATATTATATATGTAGGTGATACTCTAAGTGAATGAGTGAGAAGAAAGAATCGGAGAGTGAATGTTTAATAAAAATCCGCAATGTTTATCTGTATGAATATACTGTTATATGAATATTGAAAAGCGGAAATTAAAAAAAAAAAAAAAAAAAAAAAAAAAATATTAATCATGAAAAATTTTGAAGATGCATTTCGTTTTCAATTCAAAGAAAAAAATTGTTGGGAGAGTTGTTTGGAGAACTGTAGGTAAATTTTATGGCCCAACTGTTGGCTTTATTTTCTTTTGCTACAAACCTTGGGTAGTATTTGTTTTTACGTTTACTGTTACTTTTACTGCATGTAAACAACAAATACTGTATATTTACATAACAATGATGTTAAAAGTTAAAACAAGAGGCAAGTCAATGAACTTTATTTCCATAAATGACTTCAATACACAGTTCAAGATAAACTTCAAATCTTTATAAGTTCCTATTACATCCATCAAAATGATCAGGGCTGCAGATTACTATCTTCTAAAGTCATTTCTTCTCAAATATTGGAAGAAACATGCCTGTAAATCAGGTATTGGGTTGAGAAAACGATCACAATGAGCTAGTACACGTGTAACCATAGAACACGGTTCAAAAACTCTCTTTTATGAGATCTTTTCCTATAAATAAAAGCTATAATTAAGTGGTGATCAATGATCTAAGAAATATACTTTTATGGAAAATTTCAGACTTCCGTATGAAATTTCTGGGGATTATCTCAAATTTTTATACCCTTGGAACATCCAAATCTACTCCATTTTGCACATCCACATGGATAAATCATTCATTTCATATTGGCCTACATTTTTATCTAACAGTTTTAAAAATGTTCAAGAGATAATATTAAAAAAGAGGGTGGTAATCTGAAAGGACTGCTGAAGTAATGGACTCAAAATGAATGACAAAGACCAGTGAAGCATCTGAAAGAAGAATTTCTAGATGTGACTGGATATGCAGAAGGGACTCTTTTCTTTTTATTATTGTGGAATCATCATCATTACCAATGTCTGTGGATTTTATGGGTCACCCTTACCCATGAATTTACATCTCCGCGAATGATGACTTTGCCAATGTAAAGCAGCATTGATTCCTGTGTATTTACAAGTTATCCACAAAATTACATCCCCACAAATCAGTAAAATTTCGGTTGTCCATGAACATTATTGAAATGACTCCACAGTACTTTTTGAATTTTCATATTTATTTTATCAAGATTCAATGTTTGGAGAAAAAATATCTACTTATCTTTGTCAATCTCAACATTACATATGATGTATTAAAAAATACCTAAGGACAAAACAAAGACAATTATTGCACTCGTGTTGCCTAACTCTCTAATATACATGGCAACAAATCTGTTATAAATATATTATATAAGAAAAACAACCTCTGAAGTCTTTCAATCTAAAATACATTGTACTAAGGGCATTACATTTGAATTTAGCACTCCATGTACAATGCATTCATCTAAATCATGAAGCAGATCTGTATCATGGATTTATGTAAATAACAACAAGTGAAAATTTCCACCTTTACAATAAACCACTCACAGAAGACCTTTACACACTAGAACAATAAATCAACCAGCACTAGATAGTCTTACAAACAATGTTTATATAAAACTCTGTCAAGTGTGATCTGAAACCTCGGGAATTGTCACTGAAAACTCCTCCATTTGTAGGTGAAGGTATTCCTTCAAGGTGGAAGGAAGGGGCAGCGTTTCAATTTGTCCAAGCCTCTGCACCCCCATGGCTTTCCTGACTACACATCGACAGTAGTGTTGGAGGGGTCGAGGATCACGGGTCAGCTCCTTGTACCACATGATCTTGTAATACTGAATGTCATTCTTGATCAGCTTCACCATATTTCTATTTATAGCACTGTAGTCTGTGGGGATTAATTGGGAATGTGGGGGGAATATACACAGAGATTCAATGGTCGGTAGGTAGGCCACACTTTTGGCAATAGCAAAGAGGATGGTCATGTCACGATTTTTACTTCGCAGTTCGTACTGTAGTAGACTGTCATTATTTCTATTGCGCACATTAAAGTTAGCACCATATGAAATCAGTAAAGCGGCTGCCTCTGGCCTCCTCTCCTGCATATTGTTTTCATGGAAACAGACATAGTGAAGGGGAGTGAACCCTACAACAAAAGAATATCATTTCATAACTGGCAAATTGTCAATTTCACATTTGTGAATTATATATCACATATATAACACATATGTTTTAACCTGACATAAGGAATAAATCGTCTAAAATACTCATATACATGTATATAGACACATATATGTATAAAAAAAAAAGAAAATATTGCCACAAATTGAAAAATAATTTTTCGCAGTTAAACATGTACTTATTTCCTATTCTAATTACAGTTGATCTTCAGTATCTTAAACACTGATATCATGAATACCAAGGATATGTCAAAGTGATTTGGAAGTCCCGAGCACTTTAAGTATTTTACCCTCAATATCTCAAATCCTTAGATATCTCTAAGTTTTTTCTTAAGATAACAAGGTTTTATGTATATTTTGACATCTGCTGTAACAATGCTTAGGTTGGCTGTTTTCCTTACCAAGTGATTCTGGTATATTGACATCTGTGCTGTAACCCTTAGTGACTAGTTCTCTTAAGATCTCTATGGAGAATTTCTCCCCGGCTCTAACAGCAATATGTAACGGACTGAAGCCCTGTAGATTCTTGTGATTGACATCTGAACCCTTATGAAGAAGAGCCTGGATACATGACAACATTCCATTCTTCACGCATTCATGAAGGGGTGTATCCCCTGCAAAAAATAAATAAATAAATAAAATGTACTGATAGACTTATTTCTAACAAACAGTCTCGGAGTAATTACTTCATATTAACAAACCAAGCTTGATTCTGTACAAATATTTGACACTGTAATTGGCAAAGGCACAAATTATTTATATTACTCATCTAATACACATTTAGAGATTTTTTTTCACAATGGTACTGTATGTGTATGTATATTTTGCTTCTAAGTGCTATTTATATTTTGTTCAGTCACTGATTGCTGATTCATGAGCCCCATCATTTTTTTTTTCTATTTTTGTCAAATAATTATGTGTACATACTGCATGCAATTACTGAACTGAAAAGTCCACAAGTTTCAACTGAACTACAATTTAAAGATGCTTTGTAGATGTACATTGAAAGTACACATGAAGTAACTGTTTGCAACTTCAACAAAGAATTAACTCTTGGTTCAATACATGTATATAATTTCCATTTTGGAACTGAAGTAGAAATGTATAGTTGAAACGATAAGACTGTTCAGATCTGAATCTGTCTAAGGCTGAACCTCAGCACTGCACAGAGTTGTTGCTTTTATTAATACATAAACTGTGGAATTATTATACAGTATATATATACTTATTTCCATGTGGGATTAATTTCACTATGAACGTGGACAAAAACTTTCCGTGGAAATTTGTCACATTGTTTGTAAAGTGCATTTAAGACATAAAGGCAATCCAAGAAATCTGCATCGTTTTCTATCTGCTATTGAAAAGAAATTGTGATCCCCGTAATTATGACCCCATGGAAAAAAGTATGTTTACAGTATTTTATTTGTGGGCACTTCCCACCTATAAATTTACAATGTCAATGGATATTGATTAGGAGGTATGTTATTTGTTTCCTTACAGGGATGTTTGTCAATGAAATTATAAAGTCCCCATGAACTTGTAAGTTTTAAGTTGACCCTCAAGAATTAAATTAATTACATACTAGATATAATGCAAGAGAAGTTTATCTAACAATCTTTCGTGTAAAAGGTGATCAATGATCTGTTTTGATTAACAATACTGTACAAGTATAATTTTTACATATATAGATGAAGGATATGATTTTACAGATGGACAAAAGATATTTCTGCTAGTGTGAATTATTAGCAAGGAAAAACTTGGATCCTATAAATCAGCTTTTAAATTAAATATACCTGTATCTTTAGCAGGCAGTGACAAGATGTCCTTCCAAATCGCATTATCCAGGTGAGCATGTACACACTCTTCAAAGGTTTTCTGGGCAGCTATGTACAAACTTGTTCTTCCATACTCATCTACTGCATTGTAGTCAGCTCCATGCCATATCAGCATTGTCACACACTCAATGTTGTTTGCACTAGCTGCTAGATGTAGAGGGGTTGTGCCACCTGGGTGTGGAAATGCTGTAATGGATATAAACATTTACATATTAGCAAGTTTAAATGTTGAATTTATGATATACAAAAAGAATATACTTTTAAGGAATAAAACACAATACAAAAATTTGTTACCACAACAAGCTTGGGCTGATTATTTGGTTATATGTACTTAATATATAACTCATATCAAGGTAATGGTATTAAAATTTAAAAAAGCTTGAATTTTATACACATTATACAACAATGGTGAAGAAGTGTAGATACCAGTGTATGATCCATGTTTTGAGTATTTAGTTCCATTATTGCACATGGCATCATTCTCTAGGAGTAAGGCAACACAGTCCACATGGCCTTCATCTGCTGCCATGTGTAAAGCGCTCACATCAAACCGATCGCTAGCATTTACACTGGCTGTAAGAAACAGGTTTGGTAAAGTGAGTTCTTTTCATTAATAAAAGGCAAGTCCTCAACTGTCTATGAATACAAAGGTAATGTTTTATACAGAGTTTGTCACACCAATTTCACCCTGTGTCCTTTTGATTCATAGTTGCCAACTCACCTGGTTTTTTGACCTAGTGTAACCCGATTATTTTGTATGACACAACGGGTTAACTTTTCAACCTTTTTTTGCTGAAAAGCTCAAAAATCTCCCCATTAGTTAACGATTATTTGGGAAGTCTTTTTTTTGACAATCAAAGTTTGCTATATTGGGAAATTTTCAAGCAAATCTGGGAGAAGTTCTAAAAATCAGAAAGACATGATACTTCCATAGTTTATGAATTTGTTAACACTAAACCCATTTCATTTTGACCTTTATTTAAAAACCCTTACATGTGACGTGAAATTACACTAAAGGTTTAAATATGTACAGGTAAGTTTAAAAAAAATATTGTGAGATAGTCCTTAATGTGACTTACGCCGACAAAGGGAGATAACTACAAATTATAGTGTTGTGTAATGTTGAAGAAATTCCTCGTTTATCATTCATAATTTAATCGTTAAATACATACGTTGAAAACGTTTTTTTTTATCGAATCTCATGTCAAAGATCTACCTCCATTCTCTATCAGCCACCTGACCACATCTGTGTGACCCTGAGAAGCAGCCGTCATCAAAGGTGTCAGGTAATTTTTAGAGTCGTAGAACAAACTCTTGTTGTACTCAGTGGCATCCGGAGAGGCTCCTGTCTTCAGCAGAGTTTTTACAAGATCTAAATCTCCTGATCTTGACGCTTCAACCAATCTCTTATCTTGTTCAATTTCCATTAACATGAGTTCTCGGTTTCTCTTCCTGAAGATCGTCTCCATCTTGAAAATTATAGGTAGGTAGTTCTTATAAATGTCGATAAGTAATTGATGTTTGTAAATATGTAGCCATATCTAATTTCTAAAACTGACAAAATGTAAAAAATTAAATTTTATCTCTTAAGCTTTTTTTAAACTTAAATGAAATATTATAGTATTTCAATATGACCCTCAAAACAAAAGATTAATTTATCGTACGAGTTATTGTGTGACACGATGGCGGGATCTCATGAAAAAGTGGAAAAATTTCCAGACTTGGTTTGCATTCTTTCCTTTTATAAAATCGGACAAGACAAAAGCTAAAGTTTTTTGTACTTTGTTTGATCCATAATTTATTGTTGAATACGACGGAGGGAGTGCTTTTGCATCCTGTGTTTAAAAAGAGAAGCTAGTCATAAAGCTGGTTATTAAGCTATCCAGATTATCAGAATAGCTTGATAAAGCTATTTATATGCAGTTTTTCACAATAATGTCTTTTGTAAGAAATAGACAAAAAGTCGCAAAGATTTGACTATTCATATATGTTCTATGGGCTTTCAAAAATCCAACTCAAATCAAAGATAGTTCTAACATTGCAGCTTTTAAAAAAAATAAGCAAAAAATTCCTCATTATTTGTGAAAAAATTCATATAAATAGTTAATCAAGCTATTTTGAATAGCTTAGAAAAGTATGTGGCCAATTCAATCTATATAGTTAAATCAAGAGATTGTGCTGGACCTTCGACTTGCTGTTAACAGGTTAAAATATTCTCAGAGGTCTTGATCCTGGGTTTAAAAACGTGTATCTATTACAGCCTGTTAGGAAAAGTTGGAAGATACTACAGAAGTAGATGAAAGCTATGACTGTCCTTTTCTCTAAAGAGAAAAATGCTTCATGACACCTCAGCATTTTTTTTTGTTGAAGGAATGCAAAATCACTCCTTCAATTGTATTTACTAGTAGATTGGGTATTAAAAATTCATATTATCTTTTAGTATACAAAATCAAGAATGAGTGTGTTACAGTCTCTGATCAAGTTGAAGATGAACAAATGTTTTTTTTTATAATTGTAGCGACATCAGTTTTTGCGTGGATTGATTCAGTATGAAGGCTGGCAGAGGACACGTCATTACTTGAAATCTGCAGCAGAATGCACATCACGTGCCATTGTGTCATTGGAACTGAGTCCCCAACCAATCAAATCGCCACGACAGGCACAGAAATTAGAGAGTGTGAGTAGCAATGCAAAAGGTTGTTTTAAATATTAATTCATTGCTTTTATTCACTAATTAAGTAATGATTAATATTATCATTTATACATTATATTTGAAGGTAGAGTCTTGTCTGACATGTTTTTGAGATTTCCAGTTAGTAATGAAAAGAGGAAAAAAATACTCATTTTCCTCTCAGAATTTGCATGATTTTCTAGATGTCAAATTATATAAACATATCATATATTTGGAAATGGACATTGGCTCTGAAAAAAAAAATTTTTTACTTGAAATTTTTCTCATGTAGATTGGGGGAGAGACAATCAAAAGGCTTAAAAAGTTTGCAGAGGAAGATCGCTGGCCGAGAAGTCCCCCTCTGTCGGGAAAGTTTGTGAGTTCTGCAGGTGCCATACTGGTGGCTCTAATGACAGCTGAGGACCAGATCAAGGAGAGCAGGTTGTTGTTTAAGTATTTTTAACCAAGTTTTCCTTAGGAAAAATCTGTTAATTGAAATGGTGAATGGGGGGCTACCAAAAGGGTACATCATTTGTCCAGATATAAACTCCAACTAAAGATATAAAGACAGGAACTTGATTATTTTGCAGATGAATTGTACATATATTAGAGATGTGCACAGTACCTGGATTTTAATTTATTTGTCTGGACAATGAAAAATATTGCATATAGGCAGGGTTCGACACTAACTTTTTAAGGCTTTAGTCTGGCCGGACTAGTGCTTCTTTACTTTTACTAGTCCGCATGCGATTTTATGAGTCCGTCAAAAAAAAATTGTTTTTAGACATTAATTTAACGTGACAATTAATATACGTTTTATACTTTTTTGAAATAAACAAAGCATTTACGTGAAAAATATTATTCCACAGATTCATTCAAATCTCGCAATCAGCAAGTACGATCGTATTACCGATTTCGGGGTTTTTTTTGTTGTTTTTTTTGTTTTTGTTTTTTTTGTTTTTTTTTCTTGTCTTTACATTACATTCAAAACGTGTCATACTAAATCATGATCGCTAAAACCTTTTACTTCATATCGATCAATCGAAAAATAAAATTGACTCGGAATTGCGTAACTACCCGCCAAAAGCTAGAAATCTAAATACAAATGCGGGGTTTTCTAGTAAAAGTTGTTGAGAATCGGACATCGGTAATTAATTCATATTGTTTTCCAGAAATTTTTATTGGTCCGCTCGGACTAATTAGTCACAGATTTTATTAGTCCGAATGAAAATGTATTAGTCTGAGACTAACGTTAGTGTCGAACCCTGATAGGGTATATCATTTTTCCTGACAACTCCTCCTACAGTTTTCAAGAGAGAAACATTTTGATTTTGCAGATCATATGTACATATATCAGAGATGTCATGTGCATAGTACATGGATTTTAATTTTTGATAATTTATGAGAAAAATACCAGTTGTTGAACTTTGTCATTTTTTATGCAAAATATTGCATAGGGTACACTGATATTTAAGTCTGATAGTTCAAACCCTTGGATTCAGTCTGTTTAAGTCTGATATTTCAAACCCTTGGATTAAGTCTTGTTATGAGGGTTTGAACTAGTGATGTTCCAATCATCGATTATAATTGAAAATCAGTCGATTGCTGACATAATTCAAGTGCTCGATTACAAAATTTTTATTCTGATTAATCGGTATATTATCTTTTTTAACAAGCGTAATAGTTTTTAAGCCAAATATTCCAGCTGCAACTTATCTATTAACTTACTTGGGTATTGTAATGGCCAGATAAACAGAATTGTATCCATACCTGGATAACAAAGCACGTTCCCGGGTATAGATGTACGTTTATATCTGTACAGTGTATGAAGAAAAATTAAAGAAAAACAGATACACACTCAATAAAACACTCAGATGATATCCATTTATTCTTATTCAGCAAAATAAACAACAAATACAGATGCAGATAAGTAGTCATTTACCCATTCTTACCATTAAATTAACTAAATTGAGAGACTTTGTAAATGTCAGATTATAATCGATTAGTTACATAGAGTAACCCGATCATCGATTATGAAATTCTTACCGATTCCCATCACTAGTTTGAACTTTGAAATATCAGAGTCAGTAAGACTGAATCCAAGGGTTTGGAATATCAGACTTAGACAGACTGAATCCAAGGATTTTAAATATCAGACTAAGCAAGTGTGAATCCAAGGGTTATCTGTGAATTTTGTTGTTGTTGTTGTTTTGCTTGAACTAAAGCATGTATAATGCTGGTGTGATATATGTGTGTATTTTAAAAAAAGTACCACCCTTTAGTTTTATGTCATTAATGATGCTATAGCAAGTGACACATGCATTCCTTAGAACATGCTAGTCTTTCAAATTTTGTCTGGGGCATAGCAAACAATGTCACTGTTACTTTATTAGCTTTTATTGTAAGGTTTATGGAAAGATAAGTGGGGGAAAAAATGTTCATTATTTTCTCATTTATTGAATCTTGTTGAATGATTAGAATTTTTCCTGCCTTTCAATGATTTTAATCCATATTGATCATAACTACATTGCATATATTATTTACAAATTTTAAGATTTTTTTCAAATTTGTGTAGCGATGAAAAAGACAGCCATCATATCTCAGAAGAAAAGCTGAAAGCTCAGGCATCCATGTTGTGTGAGGAGGACTTTACACAGGACGGTGAGTCTTCTGGTTATTAGTACAGGGATAATGGAATTTGAAGTTTATAAACCCTCTGCTCTCTCATATAAAATATTGCTTTAAATTAAACCCTTATGATTTTCTAAAAGAAATGTATTTTATAATACAAACAATTATAGCATAGTTTGCAGGGTAAAATTGGACAAAAAAGACATTTCAACTTGACAAATTTATAAATGATGTCATTTGTGTCTTTAAGAGTTATCTCTCTTATCAGAGTATCATTGAACCTTAAAACCTGTCTAATGTAAATAAGGAAGAAATCAAGCATTTAATATGTTTAAGTTTAGCAGCAGAGGATCAGACAACTCTTATGTTTAACAGAGGAGAATGTTCTCGGATCAAAATGTTACAAAAATAATCCAAATTTTAAACAAGTAAATGAGATCAAGATAAATCTACACAAAAGTTTTTGTCACTTTAAATTTCTCTTATAAATTTTTGTAATGTATTGAAAAAAAGTACCTTCATTGAAAACAAATATTTCTGTCAGGATTCTGTCAAGCGTGGTGGAGGATGGAAGTGCTGATCAAACGAGGTTATGTTAAACGAAGATTCTACAAGAAATCACCTGTGTATCACCTCTTACCTGAAGGTCGTGAAGTAGCCCTCACACTGCTAGGTTTGTATGAATGTTTTGATATTTTGGTCATAGATTAAGGTGATGATTCTTAAAATTATAAAGTCATGCCATAAAATGTTTAATTCCCTTCAGATAAGAGCATATAATATTTTTTTTAAATCTTGATGTGATTGTATGGATTTTTATATTATTGAGAGATTATTTCACTTGCATGAAATGAAATTTTCTCTCAGGAATATAAAACTAAGTTGACACACTTTTTGAATTACTGAGTTAATGGGTACCATCTCTTATTGACCTTTGTTGATATCTTCTTAAGGGAGAAAACTAATTGAACATACATGTATATTTGATATAAGAAATTGTATGGCTGAGTTTGCATTGTGTTTAACTAGTTGGCAGTTTGTTACTTCTGATGGTAGTTTTCCTACTATATAAATACATGTAATAATCATTCTCAAAAGATGAAAATTAATTCCTCATCATTACTGTAAAGACTTGTAAAATAATGGAGTTAATTTGATTTAAAGTCATAAAAATAGTGGAAATAATGTAGATGAAATGGATTTCATTATCTCACTTCACAACAGGTAAATCTTGTGCAGCTTCAACTGGAACGAATGGAAATGTATCTAAACACAGTCTCTACTTGCCAAAGGCTTATCCTGAATTGAGCACCAGGCAGAGTATGGCTTTACCAGAGAAATCCGTAGTTTTCTCACCAGGAACCTCAGGGTGTTTCATGGAGAATCTTGCAGCTTGTGACACTGAGATTGCAACCACATCAACACCCCCCAGATCTGAGACCCCAACCATTGAGTGTAGCTATGAAAAATCTGGTTACAGTAAGGAGAAAGTCAGACCCAGGAAATCACTCAGTAACAATGAAATAAATGTTAAATTATGTACCACTTCCACTGAGTCTCATAGATCTGGTAACAACTGGGAGGGAACTAGGAGCTCTCACTTACCATGGCAGTGTGACCAGATGGGGACAGACTGTCGTCTTGGAAATGATACAGGGCAGGATGGGTAACTAATTTGATTTTGCTTAAAATTTGGCATATTCATTTTTACAGCTGAAGATGCATGATACATTCAGTTGGTGGAAGAAAATTGGAATTAATTGCCTTCATCCTGTTTAATTACATAAATTAGCAAATTGATTAACATTCCAGAACTATACTTACAGGGTTGTGATGTTACTGGACACATCAGAGTGGGGTGGTGAACAGGGAAACCTTATCCAGGTCAGTGTAAAGGTACTCAAAAGAGGCTATCCAACAGAAAAATGTTATAAAAGTGCAAACACACCAAGAAAGTTTTATAATACATATTGTGATTCACTGGAATTAAATATTGACAAAAAAAGCATATTATGATGTAGCAAATACTGTTTGAAAAAAAAATCAGACAAGGAGGGTAAATATGCACTTGTATTTCTGAGAAAATGTATCGGATACTAGAAATAATATTTAATGTAGGCTAGTAGTAATGATGTCAGATGAAATAAAACCAAAGGTACTTCTACATTGCACAAGCTTTGATTAATCAGAGACATGTAACATTTGTTTGTGACATCCATTAAATTTTTGTGTACTTTGTTACAAAAATATAATACTTCAGTATGATTAATACAAGAATATTTTATGTTATTTGTTTCTGTTTCAGTTAATTAACTATATCATTTTTGTTCAATATGATTTGTTTATTGTAATGCTCTTGAATAAAATAATTTAGTTGGGAGAGATGTTGGACAATGCTGGAATGATCTATAGAACCAAAAGACTTGTGACAGGTGACTACTGCTGGCGATGGCGTTATCATGGAGAGGAGAGGGTTCTACCTTGTATGGTGGAGAGAAAGAGAGCAGGTAGAATGGAATTTATTGTATTTGGGGCTGATGACTGCTTCAGCAAGAGACATACTGCTTGTGAACTTGAAGTTTTTGAGACTGTGTAGACCATATAAAGACTGTATTGCAGAGAAAATCTGCCTAAAATGATATGAAAATTTTTAAAAAAAAAAAAAGAAGCAAAATACTGTAGGTCTGGATATTAACATGATAGTTTGAATTTCACTATGTTCACCATTTTGTCCTTTTTCTGTGAAATTAAACATGTAGTGAATAGGGTTATCAGATCACACAAGAATATAAATGTCACAAGCCACACAACTACTGTATAGGGGGAAAATAACTCGCGGTGTTAATATTCGCTATATTCACGGTGTTAATAAATCCGTGAATTCAAGAAACAGTGAATAAGTTTTAAATATTAAACCTCGATGTTTTATTTGAAATTTGAGAATAGACTACGATAGGTATATATACGTACAGTACATGGTCATTCAGTAATTACGAGTATAGTACTTGTCATTCAATTATCTTAATTATCACGCTTTACTTTAATTCAAATGAGCAGCTAATTACCTGTATTTATTGTTCAAAAGCTGTTTTAATAGATACGTTTCATCAGTCAAAACGCATGGGTAATCGGTTTTGATTACCCGTGCGTAACGTTACCAAGTGTATTTGTTACCTGCATTAGCATTATGCATATTAGTTTTTATGGAAATTTTGGTTTGAAAAATATTATTCGAATAACTTTCGAACTTGCTGAAGATATGGAAGGATATCATTACGTCTACCTACATTAATACATTGATTAGCGTCCAGTGTTTTTTGTTTTTTTTTTTTTTTTTTTTTTTTGCTGCGATGTGTTATACCTTCGGAAAGATGTACATACACATGCACTTATAGGAAAGTCATTTGACGTTTATAGTAAAAAAAAATGTTTTGATTAATCATCAATTAACTACTAAATCTAATCATTTTATATAAACCTACCCTTTTGAATACATAACGCTGATAAATGTCGTTCTAGCTATACTATGGGTTACACTGATAAAGACAAAGGAGGTAACTTTTATCATATACCGATTCTGCGAATTCAACAAACCGCGATCGTGTCCGAGGAGAGAAAAACGTGAAAATTACAACCCGTGAAATTAATCCCCTATACAGTATAGTTTGAAATAAAAATTGTTAATATTTTGCTCCGTAGAATTAAAACAAAGTATATGGTACATTTCTGATCAAAGTTTAATAGTTTTTGAGTGCAGGGGAAACATTTTATTAAATGTACAGTGTATTTACTTTACCCTGGCAGATGATCTGGCAAGGACACTAAAAGAGGGGAGATTCTGGAGTCAAGTGCAGAAAATGGTGGACTGGAAGAAAGAGTTCATGACCTGTGACTTTCCATGTGACCTGTTCTATGTCATAGAGGGTGAACCAGAGCAGTATGTTATGAACTGTAAGGACAGATGTCATGGTGTGGGCATGTGCAAGAACCCAAGCCTGACCCAGGTCAAGGTAAGACAAACAAGAACTCTAACCTAACCCAGATCAAGGTACAATAAACTATATACCTGAGGTTCTATGTAGGTCCAGGTAAGAAAAAGCAAGCCTGAGCAAGGAAAAAGGTAAGACAAACTAGCCTGCACAAAGGTCAAGGTAATACAAACTAGCCCGATTCAGGTCAAGGTAAGACAAACTAGCCTGACCAAGGTCAAGGGAATATAAACTAGTCTGACCCGGTTCAAAGTAAGACAAACTAGCCTGACCCAGGTCAAAGTAAGACAAACTTACCTGACCAAGGTCAAGGTAAGACAAACTAGCCTGACCAAGGTCAAGTAAGACAAACTAGCCTAACCAAGGCTAAAGTAAGACATACTAGGTCAAAACTAGGTCAAGTTAAGACAAACTAGCCTAACCAAGGTTAAAGTAAGACAAACTAGGTCAAAACTAGGTCAAGGTAAGACAAACCTAAGTTTAACTCAGGTCAAATTATGACAACTCAAACTCATTTCTATCAGGTCATTGTAAGATAGACAAGCACATAAGCATTAAAATCAATCCTTATGACCAATACAAATCCTGAAATATGTTAACATTTCACTTTCTTTGTCTCCCTCTTTTTGTCTTTGTATAACCATTCTTTTACTTTGTATATGTGTTTCTCTTAATATTTTATTCTTATAATAATAACAGTTTATACTTGCAGAATGCCATTGTTGACCTGAAAAGTCATCCAGACCTTCAAGTTCTGCACACTGACAGTATACTGGAAACTGTGGCTATTCTAGAATCAATAACAGTGGATTTAGATCAAAAGTAAGTCAAAGGAGAGTTCTTCTTAACTCATGACTTAAGCTGTAGACTGTGATCAAATGTACATGTGTATTAGTGTTCCGGCCAGTATTTGAGGTTAATAAACAAAATTGGAAGATGTACTAAATTTTTCTGTTGATTTAATGAGAGGGGAAAGTTTGTATCAGAGAAAGGTTTTTATTAGATTTTATAAATATTTTCTCCCTTTTTCCAGAGTGAAAAAAGGAAAATTTGATGTGATGTTTGAGATGGAATGGGAGAAGTGTAAGCAGGATTCAGGTGTAATAAATATTGATGACAGTGATGAGGAAGCCCACCCATCAGCCTCTAAAGGCAAGCCTTCCACAGATGGGAAAGAACCCAGTGTGTCTGAAAATCTTGTCAGTGACAAACTTTGTAAAAATTCAAATGACAGCATAATTCGTATTCCTCATTGTAATATAGACAATTTTTATAAAACTTCATTGACTTTGTCAGAAAATGATGAGCATGATGTTGATCATGATGATTTAGATGCTCAGATTTGTGTTATTGACAATGATGGCGATATGGAAGACCCGGACTGGCTTCCAGACATTCCCTGTAGTACATGGACACATAGGAACATGAAGACAACTAGATGTTCATCTGAAGAAATAACTGAAAGTAATGCATCAAGAACCAAGCATAATAATCTAAAAAGAAACATTAAAAATGATCAGGATGAGGGAATGTTTGGTAAAAAGATACTGGTAACCAGGAAAGAAAGAAGTGCAGGGTTTGGAGTAAAAGATGGCCTCTGTAGTGGAAGCTACAAGTCTTGTGACTGTGTAGAAATTGATCCTGATGATGATTGGACACAGTCGAAAAATGTTTCACTCAGAAATCATGTTGTAAGATCAACTAGCAAAAAGACCACACAACTTGAAGCAAGTGATGATTCTGAAAGTGTAGAGACAAGAGATGATTGGTGGGAAAACAGTGAAAAGGAACCTCTGGTTATGTATCACAATTCCTATGGCTTCCAACCACGTACTCCATCTAAAAACAAAGAAGAAAAACCTATGTGTATCAATAAAATTGACAGACAATCTGAAATGGATAGAGAAATAGGTTATAAAAGAAGGTCTAGTCCAAAACTGGAAGTAAACAAACAATGGGTTACAGAAAGTGATAGAGGAACTATGGGATTCTGTAAATCCTCAGATTATGATAAAGACAGAGTGACCAAGATATGGGACATTTTGCCATCTCAGTCTAAAGAGACAGATTATGATGATGACAAAGTGACCCAAATACAGGACATGTTCCCCTCACTATCTAGAGAGGCAGTTTATGATGTCATGTCTAGACACTCTGGTGATGTAATGAGTTGTGTAGAAGAACTCTTAAAAACACAAGAGATTGGCTGATTTTTTCTTCACTCATTTTGGTGTCCTTGGTGTTAAGTGTTACTACTAATGCTGTATAATCTTGGTAACTGTATTATCAGAGTGTCCCTGATTATATCTGATTTTTTGAGCTGTTCTCAGTTGTTAAGGTGTTTTGTTTTTTAGGACATCGGAGTCGCTCAGGTGACTATTATCTGTTTTTGTCAGTCATCGTGCATGATTTGTTGTTCAAACTTTGTTGTCAGTCAGTCATAAACTTTTGAACATTTTTATCTTCTTTAAAACCACAACTCATTACCGCCAATTTTGGTATATACATGTATCATCTATAATTGAAGGGGAATCGTGAAAAATTGTGTATTTCATGGTCTCTACCCTCCTGGGGCCCCAGGGATGGGCCAAAACCATAAAAATGCATGCAAACTTCAAAAATCTTCTTTTCTTTTGGATATCAATCAGTCAAACTGTTGGCATGATCATAATAAGCTATGAGTCCTTATCAATGTTTTGAAATTCATGGCCTCTGGGTCAGGGGTTCTGATGTAAGGATGGATGAGGCCTTATAGATATATTGTTAAAATGCATAATTTCTTTATAAATCTCCTCTCCCCCTGTACACTAAGCAGATAAATTAAGTGTATGATTATGATAATTTCCTTTTCCAAAATTGTGAAATTCATGACCCCTCGGCCAGTGGTTCTGGTGTAAGTGTGGGGCTCTATTGATCATAAATTGGAAGTCTTATTCTCTCCCCTGTGCATTAAGCAGAAAAACTAAGTGCATGATTAAGATGAGCAAGATCAAGTGCCTCTTCCAAAATGCTGAAGTCAATGAATTGAGAGAAATTTATGACCTCAGGGTCATGGGATTCAGGTTTAAGGGTTTGACTCTATTAATCAAACAGTGAAAAATGCCCCCCCCCCCCCAAAAAAAAAGTTATTCCGTTTTAATAATTTACCTATGATAATTCTTCACAGTATATAATGGAATTGATAAGTCACTTGAAAAAAGTATTATACCTGATCCCACCTCAGATGTTTTTGGAGGTCTGTGTTTGCTCTGCTCCCAATATGTATTGTGCCAATAGACTTTTGAGGTTGATTACTGTTTGTTATCTTGGTATTTTTTGAGAATTTCTAATGTATAATTTAAAAGAGTATTTTTATAGTTTTTAATGGTCATGCAGAATTTTAAATGATTAAATAAATAAATAACAATAAATCAAATATACTTTAAATGTTATTCAATACCAGGAGAAACGAGCGTATACCAACTAGTTTCCTGCAATAGATAATGATCAGAGTTTCAAACACCCCCCATTTTTACCAAATTATATTGTAAATGGAGTAAAATATCAGATTACCAGACTATCGAGTTTTTGATCATTTATAGACCCAATCCTTGTATTTTGCTTCATTATCTAATTGCTGTTCTATGGATCCTTTTCAGGGTTGTATTATACATGAAGAGACCAATAAGGCCCTGGAGGAGGGGTCTTATTTTTTCTATGTATATATTTTATTTGATAGACATGTAAAGGAAGATGTGTGTTTGTATTTAGACTAATTATTTCATGTGGCATATGTAGATGTAGGTAAATGTAGGTAGATGTATGTCATGAATATGTTAAATACAATGTAAAAAAAAGTTGTTAAGACTGTAGTTAGTATATCTTAGCCAGAGTTAGTGTTTTTTTAGTTTAAATGTGTAGTTTGTTAGACTTTCCAGGATGTTTTTATTTTTCAAACCCTCTGTAGACATATGAATGAACAGCAAGGGGACTAAGGGGAGTGCTGAAAGTTCCTTATTGTCTGGTTTTATTATTGTTTTCTTGTTGTTTTTTCAGAGAATTGTGGTATTAATAATCTAGGCAATGCAGAACACAGGTGTACATGATTTTGTTTAATCTTGAGTGTTAGATATGTTTTATAAATGTTTATCTAGTCTTTATTGTGTAAGAGAATTTTGTTTTGAATTGAAGTGGTAACAATGATATGTTAGAAGAAAAGGAATCAGAATATTCCATTGCATTGGATGATCAGAATTAGAATGTCTATTTATAAGAGTAAAGAATGACAGTTTTTGATGTTGGGACTTTTTGTTAGAGGTTTTAATGACATATTTTGAGATGCAGTTTAACTACCCTTCAGCATTTTATATAATTGACATTGATAGCTTAAATATAAAATTGTCCAAGGTTAAATGCTCAACTTGTGTTGGCACTCGTGAACTTTATCCATGAACATTTGTGATAGCCTCATTTGGAGTTGACAGACGTAGATATGGTCCACAGTAGATATTTAGTTCATTCATAAATAATTATGAGAAACAAGATTACATTAGTCAAATGATAACAGTGTTGGCATTTTCACATTTTCAAATTAAAATTGTTCCAAACAAGACCCACAGAGAACTAGGTTTGCTATACAATGGGGTCCAAACTGAATTTGAAAGGAGACCAAGTATGAGAACAATCTTCATTTTCATGATTAAAGAATCCCCAAACCAACCTAAATCCCTCATACAGTGTATATATATATATATATATATATATATATATATATATATATATATATATATATATATATATATATATATATATATATATATCTAGGTCATTATTAGTCGATAAAACTTAATATGTCTAGAACAACATTTTCTTCGGTCAATTTTTCTTGTTAATGATGATTATTGTAATACAAGGTTTTTTTTTGTTTTTTTTTAATGTTTTTTCAATTTTATTAAAATTGTTTTATTTGTTTTGGAATGATCTTGAATAATTAGCTTTTTTATAAGGACTTTCAGATCAGATTTAAGACTATTAAACTCTAAATTGTGGTATCTCAATTGGTTTTTCTTTCCACATGGAGACTAGAAATTGGCTAACGCACTATGTTTCATCAGAGTGTAGGTTCAGATTAGCCTGAAATATATGTTTTTTTGTTTTTGTTTTTTTTTCCAGAGAAGGCCGATTTCCTCGATAATTAATCGAAATCATGGTTACTGTCATAGGCATCGACGTTTTCTGAAGAAAGTTCATTACTCAATAAAATACAGTGGCCCCTTTTGAGTAAGTTTTCATCAAGCTTTAGTTGTCCTTATAGCCTAAATTGTTCTTTCTCTATTTTGGAAGGTTTTTAAGATGTCTTCAAACCTATGCCCTTTGTGATCCTCAGATATTACACAAAATACACAAACGGGATTCTCGCACTCCTTACAGTACATTTCACATCTCTTGGGGTCGTGTGACGAGCAAGTTGGATAACGTGGAATAGATTTACCGAATTTAACAATGTCATGGATCTTCCTTTCACTGTAGATGTGTTTGCTGACACATGCCCTGCACATATTAATCAAACACGCCTCACAGTGCACTTGTACTTCTGCTGTTGAACACACGTCACATTGCATGTCATCTTGATCGTTATTGCACTCAGCCATTGTATTGATTGAAATAATGCTGAAAAATGCAAGAAAGAAAAAGAATTTTAAATTGATTAATTACTGAAACCTGAGTGGATTTCAAGCAGTGCATGGTCATGCCAAAGACTTTTTTTAAGCTGAAAAAAATTACTTTCCCTCTAAAAATCATTTTTGCGGACCAGAAATTTCTTAGTTAACAAGCATTCTGAGAGTATTGCATGAGCAATACTAGTCCCCTACCGGCAGGTGTAATCTGGTTCTGTTCCCGTTAAGAATTGAAAATGCCATAATTCCGTCAAAAATTAATGAAGCGGGACAAAATGCAAACTTGATCTATAACTAATCAAGGTAAAGCCACATACCAAAAATCAGCTCAATATCTACAAGCGTTTAGAAGAAAATTGCGGAAAACCCGTAAAAATTGAAAAGGCCGTAATTCCGTCAAAAATCAATGAAGCGGAACGAAATGCAAACTTGATCTGTAACTCATCAAGATACACTCACATACCAAAAATCAGCTCAATATCTGCAAGCGTTTAGGAAAAAAGTGCGGAAAACCAAGTGGGACAGACTGACAGACAGACAGAGGGACAGACAGACAGACAGACGGACAGACAGACGGACGGACAGACGGACGGACAGACTCAGAGTAAACCTATAGTCCTCTCCGGTTTCACCGGTAGGGGACTAATAACTATATCTTTATGCAATATGCAAACAATGATCTTGTTCTGTTAGCTGAATCATTTACAGTAGAAAAACCCTTTACAGTTGAGGAACCGATATGTCTTAAAAGCAGTTAAAGGATATTTTTTTTATAGGTGTTGGTTGCTAGGAGGGGGAAAAACAAACACTCTTATAGTTATTTGGCATTTCACTGACAAGAAAATCAATACGGGAATTATAATTTGTTCACATCTCTGTGTTACAAGTATATACAATACAACATTCTAAAACATTAACAACGTTAGTGTCACACAGTATGACTAAGCTTTTGAGATGTCCTAAGTTGCTTTACTTCAAATTACTTCTCTCTTTTTCGTGGTTTAGTAACACTCTCTCCTGATTTAGTTAACACATTCAAGAGATTTGCGATATTGTTTATCTTATGTGCCAGTTTTCGTAAGGATTAGGAGCATAATCGTAACAAGACATTAATTAAAGACTATCCAATTAAATATTGCAGTCATTCTTACCTTAATAGTTACAATGGCGGCCCTATTTTTAACAAGTACGGGGTTATTAAATACCAGGGTGGAAGTATATATACACATCCACAAGAGTAGAATGCACACGAAATTTAAATGTTAGACATGAAAACATTTTCGTTAGTTCAATACTATTTATCCGATTTTTAAACCTACCTAGTTGTTTGAAGCTCAGGAAAGCGAACCAATTCAGTTTGACATTGTAGTAATATTGTATTGTGTTCTAAGCGAGTTAACGATTTTGATTATTTAAGCTGAAAATGATAATCATATAGTGAAACCTCGTTATCTTGAACTCTAAAACTGCGAGATACCAATCCGAAGATTCGAGTTATTGATATTAAAATAAAGAAAAGAAACTGGTATTATTTGCGACTTCTAATCTCACCTCGACGAAGACTAGATAATCTTATGCTATACCCCTGACATTAGCATAGGCTTCCAGGCTAAAGTTTTGGGACCAAGTCCATTTCCAAGTAACTGTTAGCCCTACCTTGACCAAACTTGTGAAACACGCCGGGTATATGTGGTTACCATATTTTATTATTGGTATGATATATAATAATGGTGAAGGCCTACAATATAATAATAACAAGTAATAAAATACCTAAGTAAGGGAGAAATCAAAGATCCATGTGTGATCTGTCACACCATTGTTGTTAACCTAATATGATAATATAACA